TTATTTTGGAGAGAAAAAATAGGGTATGAATCGGGGTAAGGAAGAGAAGCGATTTATAAGAAATTAACTTTTTATTTACGAACATGGTACAATAAAATAAATTTATTTTTACTTTTATTTTTTTCGTTTTGTGAGTAAAATGATTAAAAATATGTTGATATATTCTTTTTTTAAGAATGCTTAAGAAATACAAGTTTGATTACATTCCTTAAAGAAAAAATGCCGGTTTCGAAAATAAATTTATTACCACACCACTTTTTGAAATATTTAGGTTGGTTTATGAAAAAAATAAATAAAGATTGCCCGATCGTATTAATTGGATGTTTCTACATGGGTATAATATCGATTTAATCGATACTTATTTCAATTTCCATAAAAATCGACTATGGTTCACTTTGGATATAAACGACTCAATTACATGCGTATTCAATTACAATAATAGTAATCGTTTGAAAGTATTTCCAATTACTCCTTTCAATTACTGAAGTTTTAATTGAGACTTTCGATTTTAACTACACCTTAACGCAAATAAATTGTTATTATAATTACAAATGTAAGTAATTCATGTACAATATCGATCGTTATATTTATTTACTAACAAGTATGTTCACGCCAGTTGTGAGTATATTTTTGGTGGAGCTAATATTCTAAGTACTTTTTTGTAAATTTAGACCTTAATCTTCGATGCAAAAATGACACAGAACTTGTTGAAAAATATTTACAATAGATATGGTTCACCGTGATTATAATATGAGGAGTTGGTCGGGGGATAGAGTCAAATAAATATTATCTATTAAAATAGTATTTTGTTGTTAACGCCGACGTTGCGACCAGGGCTACAAAATATGAAAGGTACATAGTGAAAATAAAATAAATGAATTATTAATAGATATTAAATTTAAAAAAAGTTTATTTTATTTTCACTATGTACTTTTTATATTTTTTAGCTTTCGAAGCCCGATGAAGACCTACAAAGTGGGTTGAAATAAGATACTATTTTAATAAGTAGTATTTATTTGACCGCACTCTCCGACCAACTCCTTCTCATACAAAAATATTTACACTAATTGTAAATATATAATTTTTTTAATTATTATTTACATAAGCCATATAATAGTTTTTATTGATTTTCTCTTGTATCGTTCGATCATTGTTTGTTTCAGAGCCTTGGGTTTAGGATTAGGTTATCAGAGATGCTCCAAGGATTGCATGACGAGAAAGCCATTGCGATAGCCTGGGAAAGCCGGCTGGGTCGTGGATATGAGTGGCTGTTGACCACAATAGAAAGCTAAGGGTTAAACTGTGCTTGTTAGGGCTCTTCCCGACGGGGGACAGACCTTCCTCGAAGCGTTCGGTCCCGATGATGGAGCAAAACAATCGCCTCCTTCCTTACTACAGGGATATTTAGTTTTATCTAACATCCAGAGGCGAAAGGAGACTAAGGCCTTAGGGGCACTGATTGGGCCCGAAAACGCCTCCTATAGTGTCGATAAGTTCTCCTTAAATAATCTATAAATCTTCAAACAAAAAGTTAAATTTATATAAAAGCCATAAATGTTGTACTCCAAGGACGTCATTCAAATTACGAGGGAGTAAGACTGAATAAAGGAAAATCTAAAGTATATACGTGATTTCGAACTATAATATTATATTAATAACTTTACTATTACTATAATTTACAAATATTTTATATGAAACACAATATATACATAGGCGAACGATTTAAAAAAATATATTTTTCTTGGATATTCGACAAACTTATATAAATATAATACAAATATAAACTTTCATTTTCTTTCAAATTTTTAAGGAGGAGGCAGGCCCCCCTCCCATTCCTGCTTATTCCCATGTCGTAAACTTTAATTCAGTAAATATTTAATAGTGATTGTAATTAATTTTTATTTGGGCGAGCGGGCTAACGCCTGGATATATCCCTCTATAGCCTAAAAGGCGAAGAAGGAATGGATAAAAAAATATATTTTGTAAAATTATTGATAATATTATAATCTTAAAGAAAATTAATTTCAAAATTCAAAATGTTAAATTGATCTTTATGACCAGTAACGCCATCTTGTGAGCTAAACCTACATAAAAGTTTTAGAATCAAAACATCAAATGTTTAGTCGATGTTCAAAAGTAGTAGAAAGAACAATATCTCCTTCAATTGATACTACCTGAATTATTTCTGAATTTTCGTAAAAAAAAAACAGGAGAAATTGTGCGAAAATACATGTGAAATTTGTATATTTTGATATCATAATTTAATGTTTTTATGATGTAGACTTTTTTACTTTTTTCGTTTATAATTTTATGAGATTTTTAAAACATTTTTAGGGTCTCCTCTTTGCCTTCGTCCGTTCTCAAGAAATGCTTTACCTAAAAGAATTAATGGTGTTATAATAACCAACTCATTTATATCACCTTTCAGTTAAAAAAATTAATAAATAAATAAAGCTACGGCGTATAAAGCTAATAAATTGCGTCAATCAATTGTACTATTGGTACTTTAAAGATCATTTATGCTTACTTATGACACCCATCACGACTATCCTAATCCCGCCTTAAGCTGTAAATAACTTGAAAAAATAGCACATGACGTTGCCAAAGGTCTTAATAATCCTAAATGAAACAGATGAGCTGAATAAACTTGATATAGCCAATTTTAATTTTTAAGACATTATGTGCGTTCTTTATAACACAGTGAAAAGAAAATATAAAAATGATAATTATATTTTTAGGTAACAATAATTATATTCAACAACAATAATTATAGTTATATTTATTTGAATCTATTTTTTATTTTAAAATCGTCAACATCAGATTGCCTTATCAAATAATAATAATAATAAACAAGAAAAAAAATAGTGTTTCGGTCAAGAAATAATGGAAAATCACTCCAACTGGGAGTACTACCTAATTATATTTTGTAAAGTCTTGGAGGTAACAGTGATATAATTAGATTAATATGGATACATATAGTATCAACAGTGTTCAAGTATATCATAATAGATCAATATTTCGCAATAAAGTCGAGATTTGTTGAAGGGCATCGCTGTTTTTTAACCTTTGAAATAACGAGATGAGGGTTAACATTAAACCCAAATATTTAAATGTTTTTCCTGGCGCTAGTGTTTTTATTTCTTGTTTTTTTTTTGTTTTCCACCTATTGTCGATAACAAGAAAAAAAAACGTTGGATTTAGCGATAATGTCGTTATTAATTAAGTTTTCCTTAGTTTGACAAATACCTAAACGCATCTAACTCGTTGCCAGTTATATTATATTATACATACATTCAATGAAAGTAGCAGTTATTAAATATTACTATAAAGGTTATCAACAAAAAAGTATCAATTTATTAACTATTTCAATAAATATAAAAGTAGTAACATTTATAATTGAAAAGACCTATTACTGAGAGCCACGGCTGGATCAACGGTGGAGGGAGGGGTTTGGGGCTGAAGCTCCTGCCTCCAAAATAGTAAAATATAACCATGATTTATGGAAATAAATTATTTTTTAAAGTATCATTGTTCGGTTAATTATATTTAAAAGGACTTTAGGAATCACTTAAACACCATTTCATATAGGTAGTTAGTTTCTTTATTTTTTTTTAAAGTAATTATCGTTATTTTTACGGGAAAAAAGCATTCGTGATGAAGCCTCCCCCCCAAAAAAAATTAAATTCTGGATCCTTCAGTGCTGAGAGCTAGAGAACATGAATTAAATTGCTCAATATAAACAAATTAGAAAAAATCAAAAGTGAATTAATAAAGTCTGAAACTTATCTAACTTGTTAATTGACTCTATCATTATAATCCAAGGAGAAAAAAGTTATACCTAAAATAGGAAAAAATTAATTAAACCATTAGCTTGGAAAAACATCGGTTTTCGATAATCTAATTTCAATGTCGATATCACGATATATCGGTATTTAAATTATCGACAAAATGTTGATATTTTTTATTAAAATATTACTATTTAGATAGTTTTATTTTCATTAAAATATTATAGTCAAAGTTATATGGTCAATAGTTTCAATATTTAATAATTCGTGGTACCTTTTTTATCAAATTATTAACATCCGCCTGAAACGGACGGCTCCATCTTTTCGTAACCTACAACTATTTTATTTACGAAAATTCTCGGAATTGGAGCATTTTCAATCTGGAGATCGACAAACTTTATCTATTTAAATAGGTACTAAAAACACAGGAACACCCATTTGCTTCCCACTTGAATCGTAAGATAGTTTGATTACGATATCGAGAAAAGAGATGGCCTACAAAAATATTAGGCCGTTTGGCGTGACCTCCACCACCAACATTTCAAAATAACAAGGTTAAATAGGCTAAAGAGCACAATATTTTTGTAGGCCATTCGTTTTTTCGCTTTTGTGATCAAATAATTTTAATATTCGAGCAGAAAACAAACTGGTATTGATGAGTATTAAGTACCTCGTCAAATTAATTAATTTAATTAGAAAATGCCTCATTTCTGATAATTTTCGTCGACAAAAATTTTATAAGTTACGATAAGAAGAAGCAATTCACGAAGTTTTAGGCGGATGTTAATTATTTCATAAAAAGATGTCTGTATCATGGACTACTAGACTTGATAATTTCATATTGAATATACATATTCTGTCCAGATTTCTTTTTAAAATGATACAACTAGATTTTAAACAAACTGGATACCTATCCTTCCAAAATAAACTTCAGAATCATGCCAACCCTCTCGTTTCTAACCTTGCTTCCTCTTCAATTCCTGATAACCCTCCGAGGAGTCTGAAAGGAAGATGGCCCCGTGATCTCCTAATGTAGACATATCATCAGAGTGCTACCATTGGGTAGTTACTCAGCAAGTGTTTTCATGTCATTATATCCATATGTTCAAATTTACTAGATGTATTTATTTAATAGAGTTGTAAATATCATTAAGAAATAAATAAAAAAAAAGATACATATATGTCCCAAAAATAAAATAAAGAGAGAGTTGCGTGTCATCCATTGCTATCCAATGTTGGTTGCTGTTGTTTACTTTTCAGAGTCAATGACCTATGTTCTCTCCTGTGATAGATATCAGTATTACAAGCCTACAATTACCACTTGAAGTTAATTTGTACCTTTCGGAGCTAAATATTTCTCTATTTCTTATCAACCTATCACCAGATAATTATTTTTCCCTATCTAGTTCACTACTATAACAATAATAATAATCTTAAATACAATACGAGGCGAGTTTTGTTTATGAATGAACTAGTTTTATCCGAAGGTGACAATTCTATCGCAGGTAGAGATTGTAGGGTCGGAGGCTTCCGTGTTTTTTTAGTGTTGTCACGCAAAGATAAAGACTTGATCCAGGATTTCTCTTCTCCTCTGGTGATGATAGGCTTTTTTGAATCATCGGTATCATAGGAAAGGAAGTCTGGATCCCGAATCGACACCTTGCAATATTTTATGAGTCTATTACTCAGGCCCATCTGTTTTTTACTTAGTAGTACGGAGGTACCCCCTGTCCGCCTAACGGCGAACCAACCCCCATTTTACAAATCACACAACTCTTCAATTATACTAATCGTTGCTTAAATTGTATAACTTTAATTTATATGTGTTCTGTAAGCGTACTCCAAATTTCTTTGCGTGCCCCAAAAACCATAAATACCATTGGGTAGTTAAGTTACTCAGTAAGTGTTTTCACGTCATTATACCCATATGTTCAAATTTGCGTGATGTATTTCTTTAACACAGTTGTAAATATCATTAAGAAATAATAAAAAAAACATGTGTTCTGTAGTTCAGATTGTATTATTTTTTGTTAACATGAAACAATCTAAACGAAACCACACTTTGGACAAATTTTTAATTTCTTTAAAAATCTATGTTATACATGGCGCCTTTTTACCAATTCATATTATTATATAATTATAATTATTCTTATTGGCAATTTGTAACCATAATATATATTCAACTTGATCAGCTTCATATAAGTGGAACAATAATTTGAGCCTTTTATATCTAATATTTTCATTATACGTTATATTATGCTTTCCATTTCTATTTTATAGTAATTATAATTATAACACAATATAATATAAATAATATTTATAGTGGTTAATTTGCCTATTGATCAGAAAGAAAATAATCAAAAATTAGTATTTGATTAAAAATGTATTTAAACGTTTCAAGGTAAGAAGCACTTAACTAAATACTTAATTACTTAGTTAAGTACCAATGACCAATCCTGTTGAATTGAAATTTTGTGACTAATCTAATTTCTTGGGTGAATGATATATTGCTGAGAAGTACTAGCGGATCCAGGATTTATTTTTTTTTTTTTTTTTTTGAGGGGGAAGCTTCTGTCAGAATGATTTTATTTTTTTTTTTGTATGTATATATTAGGATAATTATGTCGAAATAAAGAAAGAAACTATCTACCTATATGAAATGGTTAAGTGATTCTTTAAGTCCTGTTAAATGAAATTAGACGAACAATAATACTTTTAGAGATATTTTTTTTCATAAACTTGATTATATTTTACCATTTTGGAAGGGGGAGGGGCTTCAGCCCGAAAGCTAGAACAAATACGGATCGACTGCAACAAACAAGACTTAAGAAAATATACATTTTTATTTACAAAGAAATCATCAAACATCAACAGTTAAACTTCAAAATCTTTCTTTCTATTAATTATCATATTTAATAAATTCAAAGTAGTTAATTAAAAAGGATGCACTGGCGCAGTACAAGGAAACAGCAAAAAAAAAGATATATATATATATATATATATATATATATATATTGTATTTGTTTAATAAAATCGCTGTTGGGTGAGAAAAAGAAATAATTAAAAGCGTATGATAAAAATATTAATTTATATAAATGTCTTTGAATGTTAATTTCTTTATAGTTTTCAAAATATTTAAAAATAAAAATTTTTATTATTGATTTCACCGCTAGTAAATAAGATAGTTTTCATCAACTATCCTTGTGAGATACATTTAACTCTTCTCAGACAACGAGACTGATGTGCCCTGTTCTTCACAATACTATCATGGAGTTAATTTTGGCCGTAGATATTTAAAATACTAATATAAATATTTAAATAAATATCAATTGGCGATTTTATATTTAGCATAATATATATATATATATATATATATATATATATATATATATATATATATATATATATATAGATATAAATATTCAACATAATAATATTTAACATTAATATATAAATTAAATAAACAATACTTAATTTATTGTAGCAATAAAATTAATACTGTAAAAGGTCTATACCTATCTTTTTGTAGTACATTTTAAATAAAATCTTCCGGTCTCGAGAAACAGAAATCGAATGATATGTTTATGATATAATATTGGGTATAAAAAAATTAGAAAAGAAGATTAAATACAAGTAGTGGCAGTCTAAAAGTATAAGGTTTTTTCCTTTTTTTTTTTATGTTTTTTATTTTATATTTAGGTAAATCGTTCTTTAAAATTAAAATTAATAATAACTAATTAGGGCGCATGCAAAGTATCAAAACAAAGCCTTGAAACGTCGGAACCATTCGCAATTATATATAATTAAATACTCCGTAGGAAAAAGTGAAATAAAAAATTATACTGCGTTTTAGTTAATGAAATCGCTACGCAGTTACAGTTGGGATATTCAGAAGGTGTCAAGAAACAGAAAGTATTTTATTGACTTATAGGAGTATTAACTAATAATGATTTAAGAAAACGGAATCTTATGAGTAAATAAATATGAAACTAGTAAAAATATTTTTTAAAAATATATAATAATTAATAAATTAGGAATGTGAAGACTGTGGTATATATTTTTTAAATTTTCAAATATATATTAAAATACTTCCAAATAATAAAAAAAAATGAAGTGAATGTAATATGCATATATGTAAGTCGATATATTTTTTTAAAATGTGTATGTCGAAGTCGAATATTTCTAAGTAGGACCTATGAAAACAATATTCCTAATTTTTCTAAATATTATTAGATTAACTCAAATAAAAGAAATAAAAAATCTTCCTTTCCTTTTTTTTTTTTTTTTTGTAAAAGCACATTGCCAAATTATAAGACTGATATGTGGTTAAAAAAAAAAATTAAAAATAGAAAGAAATGTACATGAAGGAAAAAATGATAAATTAAAAACACGAAATTAGTAGATAATTGTAATTTTATTAAACATTGAAAAAAAAAAAAAAAAGTGAATGACAAGTTGTCAAAAGAACCGGCACATGAAGAAACAATAATAGAATTTTAGTGGAATGGAAGAACAAATTAAAGTAAATTTTCTCGAATTGATATGAGTGTATCTTATTATTATGTATTTCGTCGATTTATAGCAAGAAGTCACTAACATAAGTAAATTTTTGATGGATCAGAACATTTAAATACTTTTTTGTGAATTTCGACTCTAATTATCCATAAAAATCATCATAGATACATTAAAATGACATTAGTCCTTTTATAAATCAAAAATAGTTATTCTATGTGCAGTATGTTCCCAATTCACAAAGAGATAATGCATTAAAGTACTGAGCGATTTGTCTTATGTTAATATTAAATATTAAAATGTTACTTAATGACTTTTTGCAATAAACCCACGATTTATTAATTTTTTTTTTTAATATTACTACTTTTGTATTTTTAAATACCGGTATACAATATAATAGAGTGAAGTTTACTCCATCATAATCGTTGAAAAAGAAAATTATTAAAGCAAAATAAAATTTTCGAAATATCATCAGTAATTTATTTATGAAGCACTAATCCCTATAATGCTTATTAATAATTGGCAAATTAAAAATAAACGAACTTCCATAGGAATGGGGGAAGTTTTGTTTACATATTAGATTTTATAATAATTTATTTTATTAATTATTTTCTAAAAAAAAAACATTTAAAATAACAAGTAAGTGAACACAGTACCTGCTTGTCATGCTTCTTCTTGCCGACCTCTAGGAGGTGAATGATAACCTTATCTACGTCCAGTTGCTGCTTCATGACCATGTCGACTGAGAGACGACTGTTAACGCGGGCCCCTCTGTCGGGGCACTGAGCGCCGCTGTTCGCACGAGGAGCCGAGCAGTCCCGAGCTGAGGCGAAGTTACCCGAAGCAATGGGTCCTTCGTGACGGAGATGGGAGGATAAGAGAGACAGCTCGTAAATCAGGTGCTGTTCGAACCTTCGGTAGCATCCCATTGGCATATCCAGGGCGGGCCTTTCCCAAGGGAAGGGTACACGCGAAGTCTGCTCTATCTGTTTATCTAGTCTATGAGTTTATAGGCTTCTTTCATCATTATCACCTTCTTTAACGGCTAATAACATTTTATCGATCCCCAATTGCATCTTTACATTTAAATTAAGTTAATAAGGATCATATCCACAGATTTCAAGAGGGGGACGATTGTATACTAAAAAAAATAGAGAGGAGGTCGTTTCGCCCTCTTCTCTCCCACCCGATATTACGAAACACAATAATGAAATCTAGATCAATAAAAATTGGTCTACACGAATGAATAAAATATGTAAACTATAATCAATTAAGAAAACAGGCTAAGCTAAGGCCTAAATGTAGGTACTCAAGTATTTTAACACGCCTTTTATTCCTAATATTGAAATATTAGTTTACAGTCAAAAATAATTATACACAACAAAATATCCTACAATATTTATTATATTCAGATTTTATTATATTTTCCGAGAATAATTTGAACTATCGGAGAGTTGAGAGTTCATGTCACTTCCTCAAACCTTTGGAATAAAAGTAAAAACAAGTAATATATGCAATCGCTTTATTAGTATATTTTTAAACATACCCATACGCAGAAAAAAAAAAAAACCTTGCACATTATTTCACGATGGTTTATTATTTCCAAACAATTATACATCTAAAGTAACATTACCTTCCTAGTTACAAAGAAAAATAAATAAAAGGTGATTCCAATTATTGGACTAAACTTTTTTTTTAATCATTAGCTATAGGCTAAAAAAAAAAAATAGCATTACTTTAGTAACACATTCAAAATTTAAAAACCAAAACAAAGGATATAACATTTGCATTAGAACATATTTTTAAAAAAACTAGAGACCATATCTTTGCTCCTAATTGTCCGATTTTAACGAATTTTTTTTTTTTTAGGAAATTCCGTAAACTTTTAACAACCATACAACCACTAGCGGATACAAGTTCTTCAGCCCGAAAGATTTTTTTTCATATACATATAACGATTAATTAATTAGACAAAAAAGTTAACTACCTATATGAAATGGTGTTTAAGTGGTTCTTGAAGTCCTATTAAATGTAATTAGACGAACAATAATACTTTTAGAGATAATTTTTAATTTTTTTTTCTGTAAAACATGGTTATATTTTACCATTTTGGGGGAGAAAATGCGCGGATGGCGGACGTACAAAAATATTTGTATTCGTTTTTCGTATTCTACGTAGCCTGAAATGCGAAACCTCAAAATTTGAGAGGGGGTTAAGTTTTTGATTTTTTTGGTCGATCACAATGGTTCATTATTGAAAATAATAAACCAAAAGAACTAATATATATACATATATACATGTATAAAATAAGTTTATTATTACATTGTTCGTTTTACAATAATAATGTCGATTTTCTCATTATTTTTATACATAATATAAACTTCCGAATTTTTTTTTTTTTTTTTTTTTGGGTGTCCATTGCCCCCTCTCACCCAACTAAAATGAAAAGTGCACTTGTGGTGTGGATTTTGCTTCCGATTTAAAGTAACATACAGAACTAGCAGATGAAAGATTGCATTTTAGAGATTGATTTTTTTTTATTGTAATTTCTTTAGAAAAAAATAAAATAAATTAACTACACTAAATGATGTTTAAGTACATTGCAATGGGGTGTTTCTACATACCACTTCAAAATAAACTTTTTCTTAGGTTTCTCTACATCTTACAAGGCTACCATAGCCGCAGACTTCGAAAGGGCGAGGAAGGCGATCTCTCCCCAATAAAAAGGTTGAGGGGACGAAAATATCATTTCCTCTCCCCAATAATTTGATGTAAAAAAAAATTAAAATCAATAATAAATAAATTACATGAATGAATAAAATGTGTTATCTAAAACCGATTAATAAAAGTCAACTAGCTGGCAAGGCTAGGGCCTAATAGTAGGTATGTAACTATTTTATTTACCTATATGTAACATTTATATACCTAAATGTTACTTTTATTTAAATTGTTATTTATATTCAAAGAAAATAATACGTAAACTGTTATTAATAATATTATCAGCATAATAATTATAATTATTATATAAAATAATATTTATATAATATAACAACATATTTTAGGATTTGATGATTCAATCACTCCTCAATTTCCACGTGATATTCTCTTCACATTTTTCCTAACAAACAAGTCGGACTGTGAAAAACTTTGTATTTGAAGTTGTACACACAAAGAAATCATAGATTTTTTTTACCTTTTTACATTATTTATTTTTAGCAGAAAAAGTTCTATAAATGTACCAACGTTATGAAGGCTCTCACCCCTCTCCTTTGTGTTTAATCGAAATAAATATGTTATGTATTCAGGTTTATTTTTTTTTTAGATATTTTCAAGTTTATATAATAAGTAAAATAAAAGTCCTTACAACTATACAAAAAAATTAATTTTAAATATTCGATATTACATTTATTCGTTTCACAATAATTATGTTGAATTGTGTAGCACATAATAAAATCTTTAATATCTTCTTCTTTAAGCTCTAATCTTTCCAATAAATATGATGATACTATAACTTGTTTTGCGTCGGGAGTCACCGATTTATAATTGAAAAAAGAAACCCCGGATTGTTTAGATTTCAAATTCACTATGTTTTTTTTTAAACATTTCTTAACTTTTTATAACAAATGTATCTAAGAATAATAATTCGTGATAATTAACGTTCCTAAATAGATATTAAATGCAATTGAAAAAAAAAATGAGTGGAGCACTTTTTCATTTTTATCTAACAAAAAATAAATTTAAGCAAGTTTTGTCACCCAGCATAATGGATAATTCACGTCACAACTTGAGGCTTCGTTACATAATGTACAGATGTTAGGAAAGACAGCTATATATTTTCAATTCCTCACCACCAATCTTACCTGATTCACCAATTGACAATTACATTTTATAAGCCAATGCTTAAATGAAGAAAAACAGTTTTTTCGCTTCCTCACTACCTAAGGTAGAAAATTTAAGCCCTGTTAGAGAATATCAATCAGAATAAAAACTTTTAAATTAAAATTTTATTTAAAACTGCTTAATTTTACACTGATATGATGAATTTAATCAAAATTGTTCGAGAAAATCGTAAAAATGTATTTAGTCCATTATATAAAGTGCGACTTCCGGTTAGCCGATTTTGACGAAAAAGTTGCTGTAACATCCTTAGCATATAAAAACCTTAAATATGCAATTTCACTTTCGTACGACTTTATATTTTTGAGCTAGACACACACACACCATTTTGCAGGACTTGATTATTTGGACTCAGGGGACCTCAAAACGTGTTTTACCGTTGAAAACTGAGATTCGAAAATTTTCACGATCGCAATACTTTCCTTTACTATGTATTTCATACATAAGTAAGTGAAAGTAAAAATGGTGGTTAGGCTTCTAGAATATTCTATTCTCAAACATGTGAACACTTTAGGTGCTTAAAGCCTTTTGCATTATTCCGTGGTCTCGCTTGTCCCTGTGAGGGAGAAAACCACTAACACTTACTTTTAAGTCTACCTTTAAAATTCTAGGCTTAATGGCTTTGCCCTTTTTTCTTTTCTTTTTTTTCACATTTCACCAAAGGATCGTTTCCATTCTTTCAAGTTCTTTTAAGGCAGAAGTCTCCAAACCTTTTGGCCTTAGGGACCATGATCAATTATAATTATACCAATCGATACATTGGTGTTGTCGATATATCGCCATACAAAATATATATTTCATTCGTTTACTGTCGTGATTAACTTAGAAACTTTTTATGATTCATTTTTAAAAATCGAAATCAACGTATTTTTTATTCATCTAGAAATTTTGCAAAAAATCAACAAATTTGCATAGTATGCCATCCCCTTCGTTTCAAATTCGTTCAAAATAAATCAAAACTTCTTTTTGGCTTTTACAAACATTATGTTTTTACCTACCAATTTTTTTTTACATTTTTACAAATACTTATTACACGTTTTATTATGTACAGAATATCCCATAAGTATAGAGAAATATTTAAAAGGTTGATAGTAGATAGCTAGATCTACAAAAAAGTTTTTTAAGTGAGCCATGTTTTTGTTGAATTTGGTTTAAGTTACTAAACATTGCTCCTTAGTAAACTGAACAAAATTTACTTTAAACAAAAGTAGAGTTTGCCATTGTTAAAATTATTTAAAGATGACTATTGAGCGAACAAAACAGCTAGGTTTCGTGTAAAAAAAAAGGTCATAAATTATTTGTGATTTTTTTGTTATCACTCTTGAACTGTACCACATTTACCCCACTTTTAGAAAAACTACCTCGTTTAATATGCTTTAAGTTCATATTAATTGAGCTGAGGTTTATTCGGATAATTTTGAGATTCACCTAAGTTGTGTAAAGCAATTATGCGATTTCCTATCCAGTCACCCTGTTTTCTACAAAAATTACTACAATTAACAGTTGCAAAGCTATTATTTCTTTCCGTGATATGGGATGTACTGTAATAGACATAATTGCCTACAAACACATTTTATTTATAAATATAAAGCATTTAAAAATAATGATTTTTCATGTAAAGTAGTTACAAAAACTGGGGTTTTCTCTCAGATCCCAGGCATAGAATTCTCCGAATTCTTTATTTTAGTTTCTGACCAAGCCAAATAAGGAAGAACGCAGAAGAGAAAAACCTCTTCTGCTTTCTTCCTTATATGGTTTGGTCAGAAACTAAAATAAAGAATTCGGAGAATTCTATGCCGGAGATCTGAGAGAAAAATCCAGCTTTTGTAACCACTTTACGTGAAATGACAAACTCTACTTTTGTTTTAAGCAAATTTTGTCTAGTTTACTATCGAGAAATCTTTTTTTTCTTCTATGTTTACTATCTAGTTACTTAAATCAAATAATTTTTAAGTTGTCGCTTCCTATTCAACAAATAATGTGGCTCGCTTAAAAAAACACAAATCTTAAATTTCCTGCTTTTACTTTATCTCCTGTGATATATTGTAATCAACATAAATTTATAAAAACACTTTATATTTATAATAAAAAAAAATGTTGAAAATAATGAATTTCCGAATATTTCCATCTAAAGTGATAATAATGAAACTGTTTTTTTTATTTTAGATCTCTATTATAGAAATTTATCCCTATTTATAATTGACCAACTAAATGTTTTTAATCCTACTATTTACGTTTATAATTGAAGAAATCACCTGATTGCTTGAAATATCTTTATGAAAATGTTCCATTTTTATTTATCACTTCCAGCATCAGTCCACAAAAAACGTACTTAAAAAAAACAAAACATAAATTTCCTACTTTTCTGCAAAAAATCGAACCATTACTTATTTAAACCTATATTGTAGATTGTGAAGTCTGCTATCGTCTCTTTAAATATTTCCGTTTACTTATAGAACAACTTATATAGTTTAATAAATTAAGTCGAATCTGAAAATCACTACAAAAACATTATCAATTTAGCCCAAACAATGAGGATGTTTTAATTTCCATTTCTGGGCTTTTATGAATGTTTGAAGATTTTATATTCACTCTTTTAAAATATTTAATTACAATTACAATCATTACAGTGCAGGATTAAAAATTTTTCAAATTCAACAGTTAGCATTTGTATCGACGAAGTCTGAACTTGTTCTTATATTGTTATAACTTATAATTTTACTAAGAAGCTACAAAATAAGTTTTACAAGATGATCATGCATACAGCAATGGCATAAGGAAGTGGAATACATTTAACAAAATATTTACAAAAATCAGATGCATTTTATGAACATGTGTAGTTAGGCTATAAAAATATCTTAATTATAGCTGCAATGATAGTTTTTATTTTTATTTATAATACATTCAGCAACAATTTTACAGGTAATATCAATACGGTTTCATAAGACTACTTCTAAATCTAGTTTTAACTATTTCAGAATGTTGTCAATAAATATATTTCATATTTAAAAATTATTATTGTTTTTATTTGCCCTTAGTAAGTAGAAAAACTAAAATAATTCTGTAAAACAATAATATAAAAATAAATATTCATTTGACGTCATATTATCGTTGTGGTTTAATTTTCTTTATTATTGAAGTTATTCTAGAACCAGTGTTTCAGCAACATTTGTTTTTTTAACAACTCCACCTTTCTGCTTCATTTCTTCAAGACATTTCATCTTACATTGAAAAATCCTGTAAACAATAAATAATTTCTTTATAACAAAATATTGTTAAAATAATTTTAACAGCAGAATAGAAATACTAGTTGTCTAATAAGCAAGATGGATAGAATCAGGAAGGGAAAAAAAATACTATACCAAGTCCTAATCTCGGAATATAAATAACGGTTTTGGTAATGATCAGGAAAAATAGTTTGACTCTAAGCAATTTTCGTTAACCTCTGATGGTTAAATAGAAGTTGACACCCTAATCTAACTAGAGTATAAATATCAAGATTAATTTTCTAGGACGATCTCAAAATAAATAAAAATTGACAGGTAGGAATTGAACCCCCTCCGAAACAACCAGTGCTGAAATCCTGATTACCCTGAGTCCTCAACCATAATACTCTCTGAAAATAAACATAATCGGTGAAAGAAAACATTCTTTTGATTTAATAAAAAAATTAAAATGCAATATTGGACTTTTAATTCACCAATAGCATCCAAATATGCAAATATTATTTGGGTAATCTCTTAGGTACATTTGGAAATGTGACAAAAATATTTTATTTTTTTTATATCAGACGTCATTTAGCAGCAAACTATTTTTCAAAGTGAAGGGACCCAGCAATTTTTATATCAAGGTCAGATATAACAAAAACAGTGGGTAGGTTAAGTCTCCATAAAATAATTAATATAAATATAACTTCTTCATTAACTAGCTGCATCAAGATATCCTAGAGGGAATAAGCCAAAATTTTCCCTTAAAAAAAACGAAACATTACAATCACCATAGTCAACAACTACTGAAAACCAAAATGTGCAACACTACTATTAGATTATACCTTAAGATATGGCTGGCAGAAACCATTTAAAATGAGAAAATAAATTTGGACAACTTCTCTGGATGGATCAAGGAATTATGAGAATGACTTATGAGAAGCGAGTGGAGGTTAGAAGACCAAGAAGAGGACGACCTTGGATTACCTGAGAGGAATGTGAATAGGAGGTACTGAGGAAGTACAGACTAAACAGGAACAGAAACAGAGAGGGAGTATATGTGAGGGACACTTGGTCCAAGCTCTACAGATAAGACAGCATCCTCTCATGCGCAGCAGTAGAAGCAGATCATAATAAGATTCTGATGATTTATCAACATTACTAAGCCATAGGCTTTTTAACTAAAAACAAATTTATTAAAAATATTGAAATAATTTAGTTTATAAAATAGAACATACTCATGTAAATTTTTCCAATGCTTCATCTGCCTTGAATTTTTTTCGTGTTCTAGTCTTGCTTCTTTTAACATTTCTTTCAGCTTTTCAGACTCCCTTTCTGATTCAGTAACACGGTGACTAAGTTTATCCCTGTATACATACCATTGTAAAAGAAATAACCATAATGTGATAGTCATTGAGTATAAAATAAGTTAAAGTTAAAAGATAGTTATTGAGTATAAAATAAGTTAAACTAACTTTGCATGGGCAAAAGCTTCTTCGGAATTGGCCCTTTCAAGTAACGCAGCAATTATGTCTGATTTGGCCTGTAATGCACTGGTTTCAGACCTATCAGCTGTATCTTTCTTTAAAAGCTCTTTTACTTCCTGAATCAGACAGATCAAGAAAATATTACTTAAAGGTAAAACAAATATAAATCTTAGAAAGAGAGGTTGTAACCATATAAAAATGGCATATTTAACTATATTTTAGGCTACAAATTAAAATTTCACTAAGAAACCATAAGGAATCTGAAACTAACAGAATACTGTTATTTTTCAAATGTGAATATTTAAGCCTTAGGAGAAGAACTCCTATTTTTAGGCATCATAAAGGTTGTTTTTTTTTTTTCAAATTATCAATGCAATTACTTAATTCTAATCTACTAATACCATTATTCCAAAAACAGTTCATAAATTTTATCCAAAATTAAAAAGAATATCTGAAAATGGTGGGCTATGATTAGGAAAGAAAAAAAAAAGTAAACTTATTTTAATGTGGGCCAAAATTACTTGTGTGTCTTTTCAGGACACCTCCCACAACCAATTTATCCAGGAATTAGTTTTATGGTCAACAACATCTATGTAACTATCTTTAAAATAATATTTCTCTTCCTTACCTGCTCAAGTTTAGCTATTTTGCTTTCAAACGATGCTATTTTAGCATCATATTGTTTTTTACTTTCCATATGAGTTTCCAATAGTTCATTATATTCTAAACGTTTCTTCTTAACTTCTGCAATACATTGATAAAATTAATATTAAATTATATATCTTATAAAATTAAAATTTCAGAGTAGCACTATATGTTTTTGATATTTTTCTTTGTCTTTCAAAAATAAATTAAGTAATTCAAAAGACATTTAATCCTCTACTACCTGGAATCTGATTTATATTACTTCATTTTTTTTTTGTTGTCTCCATAATTTTTTTATAAACATCTGATTACCATTGTTTCTCATAAGTGAAATTAACTCTCTCACTGTATCTTTGAACTAATTTATTTGATTATTTTTGGGGATTTGTGATCTCCAGATTTTATTTTTTGAGGAATATATTGTATAAAATGTCTAATAGATATAAAACTAATACTACACAAAACATGAAAAAATGGGGCATACAACATAACCCGGGACACACTGAACTTATTCAATGTAACTGAGTAATAACAGCAAAATAATGCAAAATCAAAAAATATTGTTCTTTGCAAATATCAGCTTTGTAAAAGTTAATTATCTTAATTTAATGTAGTGATTGTTTTTAAAAATAAATTATTTTTTTATATTTAACGTGTGAGTAATAGTTTGTCATAAACTGTGATAATTGATAAAATTAAATTAATCTTGATTTAAAAAGTAATTAAATAAAATGATCTTATACTTAATAATTCTTTAATTTTAAATGGTATAATTAGTGTTAATAGGGAAATAAAAGAGATCACAGCTCCGATAGCTTCTCAGATTTAGCCAGTTTTGAAAGGTTAAAATAAAATTATAAGATTCATCACAATTATTTTGATTATGTAGAGCTTTGCCGATTGAATAAATTAAATTTTGATTATTTGTTTATACAAAAGGTTTATAACCTCCTAACTTAAATTAAAAACTTAACAACTTAACTTAACAAAAACTGAAAAAATTAAAAACAATAAAGAAAGAGGTGCAACCGTGGACCAGCTCCAGACGCAGCAGTCGTAGAGAAGAGGTCGTCCTCACGCGGCTGAGGATCGGACATACTAGACTGACTCACCTCCACCTCATAACAAAAGATTCTATCCCCCGATGTCAAAAGTGTAACCAATCACTAACTATAAAACATATTTTGGAAGAATGGCCTTTTTACACCGCAAGATTAAAAGATTTTGGAATACTCCAGAATATATCAGCATCCCTGGGAAATCAAGAAGAAATCGTTACCAAAGTCATCAAGTTCCTGGATAGTGAAAGATTTAAAAAACACATTTGACAGGCTTTTTTTTATTTACTTTTTTATTTATTAATTTTTTTTTATCTATTTATTTTTATTATATTTTCTCTTATTATTATTTATTTATTTTTTCACTTGATTTCATTTCATTTTAAATTCATTTGTTTATTAATCTCAATTCATTTATTGATTCTACTGCTATTTTTTAAAGTTTATTTATTTATACATTTTTTATACATCTTATTACCTATAAATGTCTATTATTATCCTTATTTATTTATTTTATTCTATCAATCCATTTTTTTTTTTTTTTTTTTTTTTTTTTTTTTTTTTTTTTTTTTTTTTTTTTTTTTTTTTTTTTTGTACCAATCATCCAAATAGTATTAAATGATGTTATTTAGTTGATCGGGCGCTTATGACCTGGATGTTTTGCGTCTAGACATCGAAACAAACAAACAAACCTGCTAACTTAGGAATCAAATGTGCTTTTAAAGCAGTTATTTTAGCATTCATGTTATTTATTTCTTGTATTATCTCATCTTTACTCTTGTTTTCTGGGTCAGAATAGGATGAGACTTCTGTAACCTGAAAACAAAACAATATGTAGTAATTTAATATTAAAAAAGTTGTTCTCAATCTTCCTTTTTATTTACAGCAAGCGTTTTTATTTTGATATCAACATGTTAAATTAATATTGATTCAGGATAAAATACTCTATATTATTTTTTTTTCTTAGTCATCATCTGTAAAGTTATCATTATTTGATGAATTTCCATCTGTTGAATTTATTATTTAAAACTGTCCTAATTCTTACCCTTTTTACAGAATTTAATGTCTGCAGAAAATCAGTTTTCACTTTAAATATATAAGTTCTCCCTTTGTAAAATATCAACGAATAATAATGAACGAAATGTTTAAAAAACATATTTACCATTGACAATGACTGAGATTTCTGTTTCAGTATATCCACTGTTCTTGCAAGAATGCCAGATTCCGCTTTGAGAGAAGACATTATTGCTTTCTTTGCTTTATATACAGTATTTCTAACTTTCAGATTAGCTAAATAATCGCTGTATTCTGAGTCAGAAACCACTTTACCCCCTCCAGCCTCTTCTTTTATCTGAAACAATAACTAATTGTTATATGATGGTACTAAATTATAACAATCATTACATGTTATAATAATTTTACCTTAAGTTCTCCTTCTAATTTCTCAAGCTTTGCTTTTGCTTCAGTGTAGCGCTGTGCTACTTCAGCTTTTTTTCTTGCAATGAGTTCTGCTTGGTGACGAAATGGAGCTATATCTGTCCCTGATGACTCTTCTACACTCTTTTCCATTTCTGCAGCTAAATTTTCTTGTAACTTTTCTACCTTTGAAGTTAAATTAATCAAAATAATTATTTAACAAATTTATTTAAATCACAGATATTTAAATAAATATATACTATTCAATCAAAAGTTTATGTCTCTTGAACAATTTATGCTCTTATTATTAATTTTCTCTTCTAATTAAAATTCAATATTTCTTTTAGTTCAAAATATCTTATACAAAATATAACTGAAGCAGTAAGAACAACAATCAATATTGTATCAGAATAAGTCCATAAAAATAACTGCATTTTATGATACTTGAACAAAATAGAAATTATAATCCAGAGAAATTTTAAAACTGTAGGTGTTTCAATAGTTGATAATAAGAAATTCCATATAGAAATATTATAATAATAATTAAAACCCTAGAGAATCAGATAATGTATTAAAAAAAAAATCCAATTTAGAATGAAACAATGACAGAAATTTTGTTACCGAAATTGGTTTAAAAAACCCTATATACCCAAATAACTAAAAATAATTTTATCATAAATTTATATAAATTGGTATTACAAAACAATTTTATGATACCAAAAGAAAATATGGATATGAATATTGCTATTTCATGGTATTTTTTAGAAACAAATAAAGAAAATATACCAGTTATGCTATCATTATGTCTCATCATAATTTATTATTACAATACTATAAAATTACACAGATTTTTTTTTATAATCCTAATCCCTAAAATTACCTCATCCCTTAGTTCTTCAACTCTTGTTTGTGTAAGAGGAGGTCCATCAGCAAGTCTTTGAAGCATCTCCACTTCTTCTTTCAAAATATCGAATTCTGAAGGTAACTTATCATTTGCTATATACTCATTCATTTGAACTTGTTCTTCTAATTTTTGCATCACATCTAAAACATTATCATGCAATACGTAAGATAAAAAATACATTATAATGCATAGACAATTTATCAAGTTGTAAGACAAGAAATTTCTGTTATTGTAATTTGTTAATCACTACTATTGCTTCATATCTAAAGTAAAAAGTATTGGTATATTAAATACTCTTATTAATATGAAACTCTCAGTTGTTAAGAAAATAATTTACTGTTGTAATAGGTAAACTATACCACTAGTTTAAATGTTAGAAACTATAGATGATAGCTGTTTTAATATTTCTTAAGTTTTTTTAGAATTTTTTAATATCTTTTAAAAGTAAGACTTTATATTTCACTCAAGCTTTACATCTACTGCTTTCATCTAAGAGCATCCCTGTTTCACATTATTCACATTACCTTCAGTGGTCATATTTTGAGCTGATTCCTTAGATTCAGATATTTGCCTAGTAAGAGTGTTATAATGTTCATTTAATTCTTGAAGTGCTCTCAGCTCTCGTTCTCGTTGTTGAGCAAGCTCTCTTTGCCTTTCCCTTTCCAATCTAACTTTATGAGCTGCTTCCAAGAACTTCTCTTTATTTTCAACATTCTCAAGCTATAATGGAAGCAAAAAAAAATTGACTTATGTAATAAAAAATATATTTATATTAATTCAGAATGGGTAAATCTTTTAGTTACAGGATGTTAGAAAAATACTAATTGTAGACAAATCGAAAACTACTAATTATGGCAATGATTGAGTTATGGTTGATAAAATTGAACTTATATTTCACCTTATTTTCCATTCTATGTATTTTTGCTAAAACAATTTCCTTTTCTTTTTCCATCGCTTCAATATCAGTTCTTAATTCAGCAGCATGATCACTCTTTGCCTTCAAGTTGGTAAGTTCTTTATGAGCAGTTTTGAATTGCTCAATTAAAGCTTCATACTAAAAATTGCAAACAAATATTACTAGGGGTTTATTACAAATGCAACAGAGTTTAATTAAGTTTTATTTAATTGTATGAATGAGATGTGAATAAAATTTGCCTGTTCATATAATACTGCTACATCTCTGTCCCCTAATATTTCAACTGGAATTTCAACTTTCACCAGATATTTAGCAAGATATGCTCTTTTTTTTAGCTCTGTTATATTTTGAAATAACCATTCCAAAATCGGATGTATAATAAGCTTTTCTCCTTGTACAAGTCCTTGTCGGAAACCATCCCTGTTTATAATTTAAAATTGTTTATTAGCCATAGCAAATTATATTGAGTATTCTTGAACATAATATTTTGCTTACGGATCTGTTCCAGGGTCATATTTTAGTACTCTGAGCATGTTCAAAAGCCATACAGTTATTTCTTCAGGGTCTTCATTCTTTATATCAATTTTATTAGCTTCATCTATTTCTGTTAAAACATCACTTAATACCTAAAATTATTGATGGATATTAAAATATTCCATTACATGGAAAAGAAAAGAAGAGCTTTTATTTTACTGATAAAAACCTGCAATAACTCTTCCGGTGACAAGGAATCAAATGATATCAAATTGTATTTTTTTGAAAAAGGAGGTGTATTCAATTCAGATACAATGTACCTAAGTTTCTCACTCATTTTTAAAAGTTGTTTATCAAAAGGAGGTACAATGCAACTTTAATTGTTATGGATGAATAACCATAGCAACTTGAAAAGGGATTGAAAAAGGACACCATCTTTTGTAAATATATTTATTTATAAATGCCTATTGTCCTTAATTGTTTAAATGTTAACAATTCAATTAATTTCCAGTCAAAGAGAAATTGACCATTTTTGATTTCAGATGATTACAAACTACTCGAATGATTTTAAATATTTATGCTGGTTTGCACAACAGCAAATTGTTTGCACAAACATTTCTTGCAGTTTTGAAGTAATAAAACAAATATTTATTAGCAAATACGTTCTTTACAACCCAGACAGTAAAAGTCAGATAAGCGTTATCAGCTGATGATGCTTGGTGTGTCAGCTGTCAAGCGTAAACTGTGCAAGTTGAATCTTCAAGAATTACCTTTCGTATTTGAACTTTAGACTGCAACAAATACCGGTTACTGCCTTAATGCGTTTTGTTTTCGTTACATTTAAGAAACCAAAAATTACGTTTCGATGTTCATCGAACTGTTTAGAAAAGAGGTCACCTATTTGGTAAAGTAAAAGTGTTGTTATTTTATTCTTTCTTGTTCTTTTAGTATTTTATTGTGTCTACGAAATGGAAAATGGGACTCGTATTGAAGAAGAAAGCGAACAGAAGCATATGATCACTATCAACTCTAATAAGAAATCTACTGGTTCTGTAGTTGAAAACCAATTTGATAATACTTCTAATTCCACTAAGATAGTATTGAGACATCCTTTGGATAACCAGAAATCGTCTTCAATAAGTCTTGAAAGCCTGGAATTAGATGTGCAAACTGCTGAAAACTTGCCTCTTGAAAGTAAACCTACAGTCAATATCAGTCAACGCGATTCTGGTGCTGCCTGTCAAAGCGAAGACGAAGATGAAGACCTCTCTATCTTTCAAGCAGTCCTTTCTCCAGACTGTCAAGATGTTTGGCTGAAAAGGGAGGGTAAAAATTTAGATGTTGATGGAAATGGAAGGCGCAAAATTATACCTAGTCCACATTATCTTTCTGATTCTGATGATTCAGATGATGATATTTCTATCAATAGTGATGCTGAAAAAACTGTTAGTCATGGTTTTGACTCGCCTGATGAAATTGAGGATTCTATCCTTGAGAAACTTGGGGATTCTCCAGAACCAATTCCAGAGTATACTGCTGAAGAAGAAAGGGAGGATAGCAGGTGTTGGAAAAAAGTTAATGTTGCTGGCAGTGAGAAGCGAATTGATATGAAAGTGATCGAACCATACAAAAGGGTTTTGTCACATGGTGGATATTTGACTTCTGGCTCACATAATGCTATCATAGTCTTTAGTGCATGCTTTCTACCGCACCATAGCCGTGTTGATTACAACTATGTTATGGATAACCTATTTTGCTATATTGTTTCGACTCTAGAACAGTTAGTGACTGATGATTATGTTTTGGTTTACCTTCATGGCGGCACAGCTAAGAATTGTATGCCTAGTTTTGTTTGGCTAAAACGTTGCTACCAAATGATAGATCGCCGTCTTCGTAAAAATCTCAAACGTTTATATCTTGTTCATCCTACATTTTGGCTTAAAACAATTGTAATGATGACAAAACCATTCGTAAGCGCTAAATTTAGTAAGAAAATAAGTTTTATTAACAGTCTTTCTGAACTGCTCGATACCCTACCTTTAGAACATGCTTCGATTCCAGAAAGGGTTAGACAATATGATCGTATTAAACAAAGCATCGAACTAAACTCTAAATAAAATTAGTGAAGTTGTAAACATGGCCTTATTCTAGTCTAAAACTAAAAAGCAACGAATCTCATTGATACATTCCCTTTTTTTATAAAAGGAAACTAGTCTTAATTTTATATTTATTTTTTCTTTCCTTATTATTATAATTTTTGTTTTAATAACTTAAGCAATACTTGTACCTTGTTTATATTTTATTGATTTTGGAAATAAGAAGTATACTTCGCTCAAATGTTTTTGTATAATAGACAATCACATTTTTGCATTACTTTGTTTGTAATTCTCTCATTGCATAAATAGTTTTTTTATATAAATAGTTAATCGAAATGTACTTAATATTTATTCCATTATGATATATGTTCCTTGGCCTAAACACTATCTAATAATGAAATTAAAATTTATACTATTTGTGTTTGGCACTTGTTAAATTAGTAATTATAATTTATTACTATTTTGTTATTTTTTTTTATGTTTTTAAACTTTTATATTAATAAAAAGTTACAATTTGTATAGCTAATAATCATTTTCTGTTATTTATTTTTTTATTAATTATTGAAGTTTCTCTTTTAGAAACCTCTTCAGTTGACAATATGAGGTCACACCAATTAATACAAATTTTCTGGCTAGTGATTTGTGTTATTAAATTAAGGAACTTGTACTTAATAGTTAGTTACATGCGTAGATTAATATTTTAAGGATAAAGTTGACTGATGTTGCTGATTATTTCAGGCCATGTACAACATATATTTACTTTGCATGGCATATAAAATTTTAAAACTTACATGGGAACAGTTTGATTTCGTCCACGTTTTCATATTGTTAGTAATGCAAATAATTTTATAATTGCACGCACATATATAATTTTATTCCTGATTTTGTATTTGCTTTCTTTCTCTATTTATTTTTTTGTCGGATTATTGAAAAATGATTCTTAATAGTGGCTTAAATTATAATAAAATGGGGGGAAAGCTTGGCTTTTAGTAGTGATCAGTTTTTAATTATAATCCTTTTTTTAAACTGTCAAGTAAAATGGTTAAGGTATTTCTTCACGTTCTGGTGTCATGCTTTTTTATTTATATTTAATATTAAGATTTTTTTATTACAAGAGTAGTTATTTTTAGGTTGATTAAATTCAGCTATATATTAAGAATATTCAAGTTTGATCTGATTTGGTAATTATAAAAAAAACAAAAAGAAAGAAATGTTTCTCTGTTATTTTATATTTCTTTGCTTTAAAAAGTGTAATCTTTAAACACTTAATATCTTTAGATATATCAAATGCTAAACAATGTCATAATAACTGTGTACAAGTAATTGCAAATTGCTTGTAATTTTTTAAGTTTTACTCAAATTCTTTTTCTTTTTGCATTTGGATCAAAGTTTTACATAATTTGATTAAATTAAACTCTATATGCATATTATTATTATTATTATTTTTTTTTTCAATGCTCCTGAAATATTACTTGTATATGTGTGTTATCTAAAATTATGAGCCTTTATCAAACTATTTATCTATTATCAATTTATAAAAAATATTCCCATGAAGTCAGAAATGTTTATTGTTTTTGATTTATTTCATGACCAAATAATTTCCTTTTGAACTATGATTGTTTAATATTTATTATTATTATAGATATATTTAAAAGAAAAGTATCTCTAGGTATAAATGTAGGTATGAAAAGTATTAATTATACTGAGTGAGTTTTGGAATTGAAAATGTTCATATTTTGTATAGCCATTATTCTGTTAAAACAATAATAATATATTTATTATAATAAAGTATAAGAAAATTATTTAATTTAAAATTCAAGGTGTGAATAATTTCACAAAGTAGCTACTATGCCTTAAAAACAGACCTTATCTAATTTATTAAATATTTGTTTAATGTTGTTATAGTAATTATTTATATTGACTGTTGTATATAACTACTATATTTTCTAAACCATACAGCTACTCGTATCATCATTTATTGATGGTATCATTCTTTTTTTTTTTTTTTTAGTTTTAAATATTACTTGGTATATTAATTCGGATAATAAAACAAAATGTAAAGTTCTTTATCTATATGATTTATTATTATATTTTCAAACACCTATGATAAATACGGGAACATATTGAAAAATGTTTTATGATTTTGTTTTTTATAAAGTTCTTTGCCTTAGATATGAACAATGGATGATACCCTGAATTGTTGTAAAATTATTTTTAAGTGCTATATCATTATATTTTAAATTTAATATTTTTAAAAAAGTATTTTACATATATAGTCATACAGTAAATATTGTATATACATATTGCATAAGCTAAAGAACTAAACAATATTGTTTATATATTTTCCTAAACTATGTTCGACAAGTAAATGTTAACATAGGATAAGAAGAAAATATAAATTGTATAATTAAGAAAATAAATATTATTTCTGTTGTATTGTTCTGTTATTATTTAAACAGTACATTCATTTTTTTACTTTAATTAAAATGTAATTTTATCAGTATTTGTTTTGTAATAAACCATAAACTTTTTCAATACTGGTAAGTGCAATGCTCTTAGGCTAAAAGAGATCTTAGTGGTGTGGTGGTTTTAACGAAAATCACTTTAGTGTTTGCTAATTTTTTAGCAGCAATGAGATTTGATTATTTTTTCCATCATAGTCTTACTTGTTCCATCTATATTCAAATTCATGATGTAAAAATATAATAAATTTTTATCTTTTTTCAATTTATCTTGACTGATTTATAAAAAAGATATTAAAATAAATAAATAAAGGGATATATAAGTAAATATGTATTACACAATAAATTTTGATTTTTATTTAGCTAATCTGATGTAATTTTTATGTAAACATCTTCATAAAAAATATTGAAATTGTTGATTAAAATGATATTAAGAGCATCTGGTCTGCAAATTAAACACTGATTTTAAAAAATAAAATACTTTAAAATTGAGATATGTAAGGGAAGGGTATATAAAGGGTATATAAACGTTAAACATATGATTTTATTTGTATTTTTATTTTATTTTAAAACATTCTATTAATGAAACTCTTTTTCTAAACTCTTGATCATCATGAAATGTCAAATCATTTTCTTCTAATTAATTAATTTTTCTCTTCTCATGAATTGATCAACTTTATTTGTTTAAGTAACAAATGGATGAATTACTTGTTTCTCTTGAGTCTTCTTCCATTTTTTAAATATGAGTTCTCCTATTATTAAAATGAAACCCAATGCCACCCCTGTAAAGAACAACAAATAATATATTATATATATGACATAAATTTGATGCTATGAAAATTTCTATTAATAAATGTTATTTTTTGTTTATCGTGAAACATAATTTTAAATTAATTAATGATTTTCATTATCATCATCGTTGTGGAAGTTTAAAATTGCATACTGTTAGTTTAACATGATAATCTTCCTATTATTAATTTTTTACTTTCACTTACCTATATATATATTTTTTATTTTATTTTTTTTTATTTTTTATTTTTTTTGGTCCTCGCCTTTAAGGCTATACGGGGTTTTCCCAGGCCAGGAGGTGTGGGCGGGGATTTATAAGACCCCCGGCACTGGGGCAGGGATTTATAAGTTATAAGACCCCCGGCATTGGGACGCGAACTCGTGACTATTTTAAATCCAATGTCTCATAGATTAGGTTGCCAGCCAACGGTGGTGCAGTGTACGCATGTTAGCCCATTTGGCCACCCCGCCTACCTCACCTATATATGTAATATACTGTAAGAGAAAGTATTGCAATCGTGATAATTTTCAAATCTGAGTTTTCAATAGAAATACCCATTTTGAGGTCCCCTGAGTCCCAAATAACCAAGTCTCACAAAATAGTCTGTGTGTATGTAAACAGTGTAGCTCAAAAGCGAAAAGTCGTACAAAACTTATTTGACGTATTTAAAATAGGTATATGGCTTAGATGTTACGGCAACTTTCTCCTTAAAAACGGCTAACCAGAAGAGTCGCTCTATATCAATGGTGAAACACATTTTTACAATTTTATCAAAAACGGCTCCAACGATTTTGGTTAAACTCGGAGTATCATTGTATAATTAAGTGTTCGTTAATATCAATCAGGTCTTATCCCCATTGATCTCACTTTACAGAGCTTAAATGCTCAATGTTCATATAAGTCTTCCTCTATAGTACCTTTAATATGGTTTATTTTAAATAATTAATCATCTCACATTATTTAGAGTTACTAAAAAATGCTAAATATAACTTTTGAAAGAATTTGATAGTTGAATAAAGGAAAAAAAAAAAAATGCTTATGCAGGTCGGAAATGAGTTCGGAAATACTAGTCATAAGGTATACGTTATAATATATTGTTGGAAAGCAGAGAGTTATAGAAAAAATATCTAATGTAGAAAGTTGTAGAAGGTAATGGAGAGTGTAGAGAAAATTATAAATAATAATTTTTGAAAACTAATATTATTTAACGTTAAATCACATGTTTTCAAGGAAATTAAATGAAATTTACTAACTAAATGTAAACTTTTAAAATATTTTTAAGTTTGAAAAAGTATTTAAAATCCACCTAATCAAGGCAATATCATTGTTTAAAAAACTATTTTATTGTATTTGTGTGAAAGAATAAGTGAAATATCAAATCATTTCATGGATGTATAAAGCATATGTTTATAAACTTAAATACATTTACTGTAGTTTAATAGTTTTAGATCTGATATTATATTTAAATAATTAGGTATCAACGTCCATTTATTCCAAAAAATCGTCATGTAACTTTAAAAAAAATTAAATTAGTGAATAATTTGATGAATTTTCCCTTTGTGAAATCCCAAAATTATCTTGTCTTCCTCTAAAGTACCTTTAATTTGGTTTATTATAAATAATAACTATTTCTCATTATTAGGAGTTATGAAAAAATGCTAAATATAACTTTTGAAAGAATTTGATAATTGAATATAGCAGGAAAATAAATATCTAGTCCGGAAATAATAGTCAGAAGGTATAATATATCGTTGGAAAGCGGAGAATTGAAAAAAAAAATAATAATAAAGAAAATTGTAGAAGGTAACGGAGAGTAGCAAAAAAAATATAAATAATAATTTCTAAAAACTTAACATTATTTAACATAAATCACATATTCTCAAGGAAATTATATGAAATTTTCTTATTAAATGTAAACTTTTAACATTTTTTTTTAATTTGAAAAAACATTTAAAATCCATAGATTCAAGGCAATGACACTGTTTAAAACACTATTTCATTTTACTTTTGTGAAAGAAGAAGTGAAATATAAAAATATTTCATGGATATGTTTATAACCTTAAATGTATTTAAGCTGATTCCGTAGATTTACATCCCCGTAATCAGCCCCGATGATGGCCTGAACTTCAGGTCCAAACGTCGGCAAATGACAAAATAAATATTATTATTTATTTTGCCTTATTATTTGACTGATCACTCCAACTATTCTTCTCCTCATTAAATATATTTACTTTATTTTGTTAGAGTTCTCGAATAGCTCTAGATCTGATATTATATTGAAATAATTAGGTATCTATTGGTCCGTTTATTCCGAAAAATCGTCATGTAACCTTTTTAGAAAATTAAATTAGTGAATAATTTGATGAATTTTTCCTTTGTAATATTCCAACAGTATCCACTTCAAATTAGTGTGACAAATTTTGACCTATCTATGGCAGACAATGTAAATCTCTTAATTCCATTGTAGAAAATTTTGCTATAGAAAATAACTCATTAATAACTAATAGTCCTATTAGTTGTGCAATCCATAATCAACGGATCGTACAAACCATAATCAACTGATGATATATTAAATAGGACTTTGGTTATTTTAATGGTATTTATAATTTTTTAGCTTTAGCTCTGTTAGAAATGCAATCAAAAAAATTTTATAATTGCCCAATATGGTCAGAAAATAATTTCTATTCAAAGTGAAGTGACTTCATCTGATTTGTGTAAGAAGAAAGCTGAAAATTACTATACGCTTTTTAAACTTTATTTATTGAACTAAAATGTATGTGTGAGAATTTGAAAAGAAGAAACATAAGTTCAAGAAAATAGATAGTAAAAAGAAACTATTTTCCTTTGATGTATGTTTGCTCAGAATCATTGTAAGTATGTAAAATAAATATATAATAATAATAGAGGTGAAGAGAATAAAATTGGAGGAAAATAAAAGAAAAAAATAAATATATGAACAAGTAATAACTAAATATATTAAAATAAAAATAAAAATAATAGAAATGATTGATTTGTAAACAGAAAATAATAAAAAAAATAATTAATATGTTATACTTTTAATTAATTTAAGTTATAAATTTAATTAATTTGTTTAGTAAAATTATGTTTATGAAATCGAATTCATTAATTGATTTACTTAATAAATACACAAACATTACCATTGACATTATTACAAAAAAGTAAAGTTTTAAAAAGATAAAAAAACAGCAAAATATTTTATAAATATACCTTCAGACAATAGATGGGTATAATCATAATCAACAATTATGATTACAGTGATGTTGATTATCTGATTACAAAGGTAATTGTGTAACATTTGGCTATATTTATGGTTCTATTGAATCAAGTATAAAATTAGCATGGTCATTATGTTTTATTTTCAGTTATAGTAATTTAATCATTGATTCTGATTTTGCCCATTTCTCATTCCGAAATATATTTCATGATACATACATCTGTAGTTATCTTTCTGTTGCTCACTCTTAATATTTTAAAGGTATGTTGTCATAATAAACTATCGACAATGGACCTATATAATGAGTTAAGAAATATAAGTATGTATCATTACCAAGGAACAAAAGAAAAAAAGAACCCTGCATGTCATCCAAGTTCACCGTATGCGTTTGACTCTCTGAGGACAAGGTATTACTCCAGCAGCGATCTTTTGTTGGTAAATAATCAGTCAACCATTTATCAATCAGTCCAACTTGATGCATTTTATATATTCTACAAAAAATAGATAAAATAATTATTGCTGAAAATCTTTAAGCAAAGGTTTCTTATATTTGGTGAATATTCAATTTTTATGTTAATTACAAACAGTACATTGTCAGTGATCAATTAGTTGAATATATATCAAGAACTAAAATAAATAAATCTTTGTTTTTATACAATATGCTTAAGATTTTTCTCCATAGGTTCTGTGAACTGGATGCTTAGAGATGCTCTTACCAATGCATTCTATTATCATGGCACTTTTTATTGGAAAAAAATAAATTAGATTAAGACAAATATTCTTTAAGCCAGAATAAAATTAATACATATTACTTTTAGAAGAATTCATGTAATATTCATTTTATAGTTACTACTTATTACTGATAGTTACTACTTACTGTTTGTTAATGAGTTCTAGGTATGGGCTTGAAGGAGAAACTACCATAGCCAATTGTTCAGCCAAAAATTCTTCTTCACCTTTAAGAGACAGAAAATTCCTCTAAATTATTTACTAAAATTGCTTCACAGTTATAGTAGCTATTAATAAGTCTAGTAATTTTGATAGTGAGGCTAACAAAGTATTTTAAAATACTTTTTGATATTGAGGTTAAGCATGAGTAATTCAGTGTAATAAGTAGCTTGCATTAACCATTTCTCATTGCTCGTTTACCCCACATTCTGTAAACATATTCCTGATTTTGACCAGGTTCTCAATTGGGTGATAAAGTCAAATAGACTGTACTACCAGACACTAGTAGATCCAGGATTTCATTTTGGGGGAAGGCTTCAGTCCAAAAGATTTTTTTTTTAATATAATGACAATTACTTTAGAAGAAAAAGAAAAAAAAAGCAGCTACCTATATGAAATGGAGTTTAAGTGATTCTCGCTTTTATTAAATGTAATTACACGAACAGTAATACTTTTAGAGATAATTTTTTAATATTGTTTTCATAAGACGTAGTAATATTTTACCATTTTGGGGAGCTTCAGCCCGAAAGCCCCTTCCTCTCCCGCCCGTAGATTGGCCTGTGCTACCAGGTATCAAAAACAATCATAGGCAAGCTAATTGTAAATACAGAGGCTATTTAAATCACTGTTCTTCCCAATACTTCTGTAGTAGATGGCCTCTAGTATTTACACCTTTAAATGGCATTGAGTGAGGGAATGAGAAGGAGTGTATAGGAATGTAAGGTTGCACTATGAATTGGACTCAATTGAGCAGTGGACAAGTTGTTTATTGAAAAGTATCAAATCTATAAAAAAGAAAGGAAGAAGCCTGGAAAAGTGCCAGTAGGTGGCAGCAGCTGGAAAAGGATGCAGGAGAACAAAGAAGACTTCACTTGAGGCTGGAACAGGAAAAAGGAAGGAGGTTAGGAGGGGAGAGAAGCCCACTCCACTCCACCAAGATCAATTCCTTTATTACAGTTGTGGAAATAAATTATTTATTATAAAGGAGTTGATAGTCCTTTTATTTAGTTGTCCTATATGTCTCACAATTGAAGAATAATAAACCAGATTAGTCAGTTCAATCAAAGTGTATTTACTCAGTCCCACATTTCGTATATATATATATATATATATATATATATATATATATATATATATATATATATATATATATATTCTTATTACTTCTTGTCACTCAGTGTCACAAAAGCATTAGGTTCTCAAATTCACAAAAACACAACCTCAAAAAGTTTATATCCAGTGCTGGGGTTTTGTTTAAAAATTAAAATTCACGAGTGTAAATAACCAAGACACCCAACAAAACTGAAGGCTATTTACAGTTGCCGCCGACCAGGTTTTTTACACTTCTGAATTGATCCAAAAATTCTACAACTTCCAGAAGTATATGAATAAGATCACAGATGTTGAAATGAAATTAATGCAAAGAATAGTCAGTAAGACCAAGAAGGACAGAATTCATGATGAAAGTCTGATCAATATGTGACATCCTGGAAAAGCAGCAGCTAAAATGATTTAGGTTGTTCTACAGAGTGACGCTGAGAATGATGCCCAAATAGCTTTAATGCTGGAAAGGAAAGCTAATGCCCTCATAACAGACCCATGAGCTAGAAATGAGAAGACGAGATAGGGGAAGAGACCATTAGGCTTGGTGGAATTGGAATGCAACTCCACGCTTGACCTGAAATAGGTGTTAAAGTGTATTTTTTATATTTAGAAGTTTATTTACTATATTAAGATTTTCTGTTCCATTTTCATTGCATGCTCAAGACAAAAATGAAATGTTTGAAATTACTTTCTGGTTTATATTTCAATATGCATGAGACTAAGGTTGACTAGAAAAGCTCAAAACTGTATTTGCTTATAAAATTGATCTTAAAGGCTTTTGCAACATGCTTGTTAAATTGTATAGATAGTTATTTTTTAAAATCACAATACATATAAAGATATCAAATTCAATATCGTACTTTTTTTTTGCTAGATTTTGCTAAATATGAACTACTAATTTACCTATTGACAGAGAGCATCGGTTTGTAGTGATTAGTTCTTGCTTCATTAGATATAACAAAATAGACTTTCGATCGATATAGACATGCTCGCCTTTGCGAATTTGGCTGATAATTTCTTGTGTTATTCTACCATGTAACTGTGCACTTTCTGACAGCTCATTGAGTTTATCATTATCCGTTGACTGAACAATAAATATTTTATTAACTTTTTCTGAAATCATATTTATCTTTGAATATAGAGGAACAAGTTTAATATAACTAAATACCTTAAGTGTTATATGTAGTGTTGAATCTTCTGGCATTCCCCAAGTAACTTCCCCCCGTCTCTCCATTAACTGGTCAACATTAGAGATGACTTTGTCCATTTTTGGAAAAGTTAGAAATGCTACAAGGTTGCCTGAATATGTGGTTACTAAAACAAGAACAACCAGCCACCAAGTACCTATTACCAGCCTGCCACTGTTTGCTTCTGGCATTACACCTCCACCTGTTCAGTTAATATGGGATAACATAGCTGATAAAAAATATACTTGAAAAATCATAATATGCTTTAAAAATAACAGATAAACAAATAATAAGTATCTCTGCATTACCTTTCTTTATTATGTCTGTTCATCTTGTTTTTGGCGTTCATTATTGCGTAGAGACTTCCTGAAAGATTGCTTCATGCTATATGTCCCACCCATCTTGACCTCCCTACCTTTATATATGTATACTAAGATATTGATTGACCAGTTTCTTTTAGCAGTTCTTTATTGGATCTTCCTCTCAAAGTGTTAATACTTTCATCCCAGTTATTGTGCAGAAGATTTTCCTCTCAAGTCTTTCAATAATTCTTCTAGAGTCCAGGTAGTAACAGGTTTTTTAAGCACCTGTGCTTGGATAAAGATCTGGTCTAGTGTACTGCTTACTCTTCAGAATTCTGCTAGGTAGTCTCCTATTATATTTTTGTAATAAGGATAAATCGGGGTCAGCAGGATATTGAATTATCTTATGGAGGAGTTCTAGAGTTCTATAATTACTACATATATACATGGAACCCTTCTTTGTGATATGGCAGATTAGGTCTATATTCCAAGCCTCTGGTATCATTTCCTTCACCCATATTTTCTGGATTTGATGTAATAGGTCTTATAATGATGCTTAGGTCTTCTTTCCTATCTTTTTACAGACAGCTCTGATGGTGAACTGTCTTTCACAGGAACCTTTCTTGTTTTAAGAATTTCACTAGCTGTAACTTTCAAATATCTTATTTTGAGATCTAAGATATCTGGTTTTTAAACCTCTGGTGATTGAGGTCCTTAGTATGATTCATATTTGTTTTGAATTTTTCTTCCCTTAGATTGAGAATCTGCCAGAAATATTCTTTCCAGATGCTTAAAATCTTTTCATTTGATACTGTCAGGATGTCATCTTCGTTTCATTTGCATATTTCTCACTTTATCCTAATGTCTAATTAGAATTTGGGTATACTTTCTCACTACAAATACTAAAAAATTAATAAATAGATAGAAGTATGTAGGTTGAAGATTCCTGTCATCGTATGAAATGAAACTTATAAAAATACTGCCCTTCAAGATAAAAATGAATAAAATAAATATTATAATTAAAAAATTACTAATGGTATTAATAAAAAGAAATAATAATTATTCATAATCTTCAATAATATCTGAGGTATAAATTTCAACAAAACTTTCAAATAATTTAGCACCAGCACTGTGGGATAAATAACTCAGATATAGTTTACAAATAAGTTATGAAATAATTTATTCCTCCAAATTTCATTTGTTCTCTTTTTAACCATACCTTGCTGTAATAGAGCCCCATATAGGTACCAGAAACAGTTCATCATCTTCATGTAACCACCTTTCTCTCTTTGGCTATAGTGCTCGTAAAAGGGACTTACCCTGTGTACAAAGTTCAGCAATGGCGTCATTATCAATACTGCTGCAACAATACACTGCCAAGTCTATTAAAAAAACAACATATTTTAGAATGCTATTTTATATAGCATGAATCGACATTTTATCTAGTTTCTTAGAATGCCACTCAAATATGGCCTTCTATTGTATAGACAAAGAAAAAAAAATATGTGAACACTTTTGGCCACTAGAAGAAAAATTTAATAATCTACTCACATCAGGAGTAAATGGCTGGATGAAAAGAAGGGCTCTGCTCAACTCTTTTGGCCTGGCAACTAAGAAGGCATAGTTTTCGGTTCTGATTGTCAGTGTGAAATTTAGGATTTTTTTCCTTGTTTCAGTTTCAGTAAAAGCAGCAGCCCCAATCATCACCTAATTTCATAAATACTCGTCAAACTTTGGTGTTACCATAATCCGTCATAAATAAATAATTATGAGATCAAACTGTTATTTTAAAGTACATTTAGGATTTTTTAACCAAAAATTAATATTTTTCCAATTTTAGAATAATATGCTATTATTATGTGGTTGGAACTTTTTCATAAGAATTAACGTATATAGAAAATAAACCTTAAAGAATAATTATTTTGAAAATAAAATTGGAAAGGAGACAACACATTTATTAATTATATTTACCTCTAAAAAAAAATAAAAATATTTTTGCCAATGAAAGATTATTAACAATTACAGCAGCTAGTCCATCGTACTATCAGTTTTTATAGATATTAATTAAATTATTTATACCTGTATTTATTTTGGATATTTAAAATTCTCATTCTTTATAATGTATAATTTTTATTATAATATAATAAATTTTATTATACTATATTATTACTTTTTTTTATTATCCTTTCTTTATAATGTTTATAATTGTTATAAGTTTATGGATATATATTTTTTTTTCAGAAATAAAATAAATATTCATGTCATTGAATCCTATATTAAATGTGTTTTTGATTTAATCCTGACAAACATAAATAACATTATTGTAGCATTGTTTATCTCTCTTCAACCAGCTAAATTTATACATTATTTTATTATTTCTAATATTGTCAAACTAAAGGTGCTAGAAGGTATTACTGCTATTATATATAAGGATTTATGTTTTACCTTTTTGTTCTGAATCAGCTGAACTACTTGTTCCCAAGCCGAAAATTCTGTACTCTGATCCAAAACTACATCTCCAACACTCTACGGTTAAAATATAAAAGTAATATATATGCTTTTAAAGAAAATTAATTAAAGACGTGCAGTCTGAAGATACTCTCAACACAATTAAAACCAAAATTATTAAAATCAAACCCTGTTATATTTCATGTCATTTATAATAAATTTTTATTGTGGTAATGTAAACTTGAATAGCTGTGCGCTTTAAACAAGTTCTTTTTTAATAATCCACAAATGCTAAGAGTGAATCATTACTTAATAGAGTACGGAGGGTATTTTTTATTGATTAAAATTTAATTTATAGTTCTAAAGTTAATTTACTCTTAAAAGTATATTCTTCCAAAGTAAAAGTGTATGGAACAAATATTCTTTTAGAAAGTCAATCATAAAAAAGAAACTAAAAAATCATCCATGAAGAAAATAATAAAATTTGATTATAATCATTTTGCATTAATAGAAAGAGAATTTCACATACCTCATTAAATCTGTAAGATTTAGTCTGGTTTACTGTTAATGAAGTATTTGACATTAATATTATCTCATATCTGAAATAAAATGGAATACAAATTTAACACAGGTTTACTTATTTTTTTTATTAGTTTTCATATTAATTTTTTTAAATATATTACATTCTATCAAAATTAAGAACATTAGTAAAAACATTTGAATCATCATGCCGCTTTTCTTAATGTACTAAATCAATTAGTGATAATTATAAACTTTACGTGAAATTAAGGCTTTTGGCAAGATGATCTATTACTTCAAATATTACTCCTTTCACTTGAGATGGTTTACCATACTGATCGTATTTCACTATTTGCCAAGGTGGATTCTAAAAATAACAAATAAAAAAAAATTATAAAACAGATAAAAGGAAGTTTTTTCTTTTTAATATTAATGAACTATAAAAGTTTTGGTTGACTCGTCACTGACACGTAATAAAAACATTTTTTGCCAATTCTTTCCTAAACTCAAGCACCAAATTCACTATGGAAAATCTTTTAAATTGATATGAAATATCCCATTCATGTATGTGGCAATTTAAAAAAATGTATGTATAAAATTTTTTTTTTCTATCTGAAATTGCTTCAACGCTACTGAACTCAATTTGATGATAATTTTTGTGGTCATTTTCAATAAAAGAAAACAATAGAAGTCTTAAGTATGAACTAAATTTTGGAGAAAAATAATTAAATATTAAACTTTTTATTAACTTTGAAACAATAATCGCCTTTTTGAACTGTTTATTCGCTATTCATTTGTGGTTTTTGAGAATTTTGAACATATTCTATATAATCTATATCATTGTTAAAAACAAATTATGAGCTGATTAAAAAGAGGAAACACTATTCTTAATGTGTCTGAACTTTTGTAAATTGCTTTGAAATAATATAAAACATACAGTTATATTCTATAAAATTATTAAGTAATTTAAAATAAATTAATTAATTGTAATAGTCAAATAATTTATCTGATCTATTAAATAAATTCTTACAAACTCTAAACAAATTAAAGAACACTGACAGAAAACTACTTAAATGATTTAGTAAAATTTAAGTATAAGAAGTCAATCAAATAATCAGATCAAATATTTAAAGTGTAAATTACCAATAAATTATTATTGCTTTCTATTATTATTTAGTTATATTTTAGGTGCCGTGTGTAACTAAGTAGGTTAGATGCATCTTATTGGTTATTGAATTGCATTGCAATATGTCTAGAGGTTCTGTTATTTTTTTTTTTTAGTTGTGTATGTTGTTAGGATATTTCTTTAAAGATCGTGTTGTTACAGCTGCATTGATTATTTCTGATTTACATTGTGAAATTTCTTTCTAAATTATCATTAATAAAGTATTAAATTATTTAATAAAGTTATTAAGTCCTTATTCTTAAATATGAACAATCATTGACATTAATCTTACATGAAATGTAAATATAGGTATTGTTTTCCTTCTAAAGCCATGGGCTACGTTTGGAAAAATTTGATCAACCAGAACTGGTCCTGAGCGAGGTGACCAATCTCCTGATTCTAAAAGTTCCTTTTGTTCTAAAAAATCTGAGCCCCAAGTCTCTGAAGAAATAATTTTCCACCAAGTACAGTTATCACACCAGCTGATCTCCTTTTGCCTTCCCTGTAATTGCTTTAATGTGTAATCAAATATTATTTCTTTATAAACTATTTCTACAAGAGAAATATTGTCCATTATTCAAAGTAAAAAATATATAGCTGTCTTGTTTTTATGATACAGTAGTATGTGCCTCAAATTTTTAATCATAGAAATAGACGTTGATTTCCATGTTTCCTGTGTTTTTCTTTTTTCAGAAATGGCCAATGGTCAATTAAATTTATTTTAACTCTTTGGATTATATTTTAAAATAACTATATGATTCAATGCAAATATTATAATTTTTTTTTTTTATTTATTTATACATGATATTTACAACTGTATTAAAAAATTAAATACATTAAGTAAATTTGATAACAGAAAATAAAAACATGAAATGACTTGTTGAGAAACTACCCACTGGTAGCACTCTAAAAACAAAATGTATTTACAATAAGAGATCTCGAGGCCATCTTCTTTTCAGACGCCTCGGAGGGTTATCAGGAATAGAAGAGGAAGCAAGGTTAGAGACGAGAGGATTCGGATGGTTCTGAAGTTTATTATGGAAAGATTGGTATCTGGATTGGGCCAAATCGGAAACATAAGGAACATTAAGGTCATTATGGATTATTTTATTGGTGACAAAGTAAGGAGCATTGAGGATTTTCCGAAGGATTTTGGATTGTAAGGATTGGATACAAGAGGAATTTGATGGCTTAGTGGAGCCCCAAAGCTCAACTCCGTAAGTCCAAATAGGTCTTATTGTAGTCATGTATATAAGTCTTTTGTAATTTACTGGAAGCTTAGAGCGTTTGTCTAGTAAGTGTTGGAGTAGTCGGAAACGTCGAGCGGTTTCTTGTCGTTTCAGTCTGGTATGAGGATTCCAAGTTAGACGTTTGTCCAAGTGAAGTCCAAGGTATCGGATTTGTTCAACAGGGATAAGTGGGGTATTATTAAAGGATACTGTGGGACATGAGGTCATAGGTTTACGTCGAAGGGTAAAGGTGATTTGATGGGATTTATTAGAATTTATTTTAATCCTCCAGTTTTTACACCATTCTTCAAGGCTTGTGATGTGCGATTGAAGAGTTTGGGATGCAATGGTTGGGTCATTATTAACGGATAGGACACATGTATCATCGGCATACGTGGTAATAACAGTGTTAGGATGGGTTGGGATGTCAGCTGTATAAACTGTGTAAAGGATAGGACCAAGGATACTACCTTGAGGAACACCAGCGGACTGAGAAAAGAGGGATGAATATGCATTATTGTGATTGACTTTTGAGTATCTATCAGTTAGATAGGAACGGATAATGAGGAAGTATGTAGGATGTAGGAATTTACGGAGTTTGTAAAGTAATCCCGGGTGCCAGACTCGATCAAAAGCCTGTTCTACATCGAGAAAGACTCCCGTGCAGTACATTCCGCGCTCTAATGCAGAGGAGACAACATCCACCACACGATGGCATTGCTGGATAGTGGAATGGGATCTGCTGAATCCAAACTGGTGATCTGGGATTATGTGATTAGAATCTAGGATTGGGTACAGGCGTTTTAGGATGAGTTTTTCTAGGACTTTTCCCATGATGGGTAAAAGAGAGATAGGACGGTAAGAGGATGGGTATTCTGGTGGCTTTTTGGGTTTATGTATCATTTTGATAATGGATAGTTTCCAAGGGTTGGGAAAATATGTTGATCGGAGTACAGCATTATATATATATGTAAGGAATAGAATGGCTTTCCGAGGAAGTAGTTTTAGGATCTGGGATGTAATTAGGTCGTGTCCAGGAGCTTTGCGGGAAGGTAACCTGTGAATGATGTTGGATATTTCTGAAGGATGAAAGGCTTTAGGAGGAGGAGTCATTTGGAGTGGGATATCCAGTTCTGCTTCAATACATTCAAGGTGATTTGGGTTAAGAATATCGGGATGTGGATTAAAGGTTTTAAAGAGGTGGTGGGCAAATATTTGGGATTTTTCTTCGTCGGATTTGGACCAGGTTTGGGCTTCAGTGAGTAGTGGATGGTTGCAGTCCTTAAATTTCAGGAGCCTTTTAGTGGTCGTCCATAGTGATTTATCGGTAGGTGTAAGTTTTTCAGTAAAATTTAGTAAATTTTGAATTTTGTATTTTCTTATTTCTGATTTTAGTTTGTTAGTCAGTTGGGTGTAATGCGCTTTATCTGTCGGGTATCTAGTTCGATGCCACTTCGATCTTGCTCTGCGTTTTTCCTTTAATAAGATGCGAATATGCTGTGGCAAGTTAGTATTTTGTGGTTTGTTAATCTTATTGATAAAGGTATTATTATTTATACTGTCTGTTATTGTTGATGTCAGTTTTTCTATGGCACCATTAATGTCTTCTTTTGTCTTTAGCGGAATTTTGAGGTCAAGTTTGTTTTCCAAATCATCACGAAATTTGTCCCAGTTTACTCGTCCAGTGATCAGTTTGGGAGGTGATGGTTTAGGAGCAAAGTCAGAATGTAATGAAAGCAGAACCGGACTATGGTCTGAAGAAAGGTCATCCAGGGATTTGATTATAGTTTGGGAGGAGGAAATCTGGGAGGTGATAAATATATCCAGGATATCGGGACGTTTTTTGAGGGATGTTGGCCAATAAGTAGGACTCATGGGCGAGAGGATTGAATAACTATTAGAAGATGAGAGATGGGAAAGGATGTTACCGCGGGAGTTGGATGTTCGACAACCCCACCGTTGGTGTTTAGCATTGTAATCTCCTCCAGCAATAAAGCGCGATCCGAGGGATTGGAACAACGTATCAAGGAGATTAAAGGAGAGGGAATTACCAGGAGGACAGTATACAGCTGAGACTGTGAAATGGAAAGGGCAAGTTGAAAGGATTAAAGAAGTTGATTGAATGGCGTCAGTTGGAGTGGAAGGAATAAGGGAATGGGGTAAAGATATATTATAATTTAAATTTCATATTCAAATAAAAAGCAATTAGTTTCAATAAGATGAATCATTTTTCATATTTTAATGTTATAGAATAAAATCTTAGTAATGCTCATTATAGTGTACAATAGACCTTCATGACTGAAGTGCATTTTACCACAAAAAAAAAAATGATCATCCCATTATTCCATAGATTTGTTAAAAAAAAAATGTCATCTCCTTAAAAATAGTTTTGTTGGTCACTGTGCTGGAAAATTGCCACAACAACTCCCTCAATATAACATGCCGTCACCACCACGTAAAACACGAATTGATGAGGCTCCTTACAGAGAGAGATTTTGCCTGTTTCGAGGACGTCTGCTGCATCGACATTTTTAATTTTTTCATTTAGTTATTTATTGAAAATGTTTATTATATTTGTTTATATTAAATTTTATTTAGTTCTTGTTACAAATACTTTTTTTTTTGTTACTGTTTTTATTGTATAATTTTAAACATCCTGTCATTAGTAAGCTGAAATTAAATTAGGAAAAAAAGAGTAAACAAATATATGAGAGAAAGAAGAGAAAGGAAAATTGATGTTAAAGAAAAAAAATATTCAAATAATACGATTATATTATTTTGAATTGAATGACAAATTATATTTATATATAAATTTTATTGATTGTGCATAGCAATTAAGTAGTATACTGTGTATTTAGCAACCCAATGTAATTGGGCAGCACTCTTTTATATAAAAAAAATTGTTTCTCTCTATGTATGGCATAGGTAAATTTCTGCAATACTTGATGAAACTGTAATTCATTTGTATTTTTTTGAAAAAAAATGTTTATATTTTTAGTTTTAATAATTACCACAATAACAACTTATTGTTAGTTTTGAAAATATGCCACAATTTAATTCATAGTCGATATTCAATGACTTATAAAAAAATTAAGACTGTATTTTTTTTTTAAACAAAAAAGGTAAGCAGTATTACTTAAGAAACATGATATTTTATATTTTAGTGTGATTTGAGGGTTTGGTTACACTAATTTAATATAAATCCAAGTTGAATTAAATTTACACATTAATGGATATATAAATAATGTTAATGGATTTCATAAAAATTACCTTTATAAAATTGATTATTGAGTTTCGTCTTTGAGATTTTGTGGGTCGAATTAAATCCCATTCTTCTTCTGAAACCTGCTCTGATAATAGCTTTTCTTCCCTCATTGATCTATCCAATGAAATAATGAGGTGGTCCAATAACTCATTGGCTTGACAATATAAACTATACTGTATAAAAGAAAAGAAGATTAGATAATCTTATATACATCACTGTGACAAACCTGCAGCAATGTAACAGAATACTCTTTTTTTGTTATTTTCTGTTTATTATTTTATATTTATTTTTTTGTTATTACAGAATACAATTTTTTACTCGTTAAGTTTTTTGTGCATTAATCATAATTATAATATGACTAAGTATGGAGATTGTAATTTATGGCACAAAAGGAGTCACTGTTTTTCAGTCTTTTAGTGATTAAGTCAGTTACGTAATACTATCATAAAAAGTTAATTAAACTGATATGCAAATAATAAAATTTTTGAAAATAATTATAATTCTAATGCTAAGATTATATTTATATAAAGTTATTACATTGCAAGAGTATTGTGAATTAGTGAAATTATACAGAAATGCAACATTTTCTCCTTCCTCCAATAGGTGAATGTAATTTTTGACATTATTTGTCTTATAATCATCAGTTTTTAATCTTACAAACAACCAGCGATTTCGGGGACCCATCAAACCAATTGATTTAGCCTGGAAAGAATAAATAATTTTGTTATAAATTGAAAAATATTAATTTAATCCTAATAAAACAAAAATACGTTCCTTTAAAATTAACATATTAAATTAAAATGAATCATCATTTTAGCTATATTCATAAGTTAATGCTAATAAAAGGAAGTAATTAGCAACTTACAGTTTCTAGTATTGTTGGAACTAATTCAAACTGAACAACAACAAGATAGTTGAAAAACATTCCAGTCCTCGGAATAAGTTTCATCACCTTTAGGACTTCTTTTTTTCTGAAAAATATAAAATAGCAAAAAATAAAATAAAATATCAGTGAAATAAGAAATCAAATATTTCATATAACTTAATGTTTAATCATATCATAATAAGCATTATAATTGTAGGGGTAACAGTTATGACTTTCTTTGGAAAATGCAGACTATTATGAAATAAATAAAAATTAATTTTTTCTAATTATTACTATACTATCTATAAAACCTGTAAATTTAAATCTTTCAGTACAGTTTTTTGTTTTTTTTTTTAAATGAGAATTTGATGACTAATATTGACAAAGGAGGTGATAGGACACAACTTTGGGGAAAATATCTCATGTTTGTTATTATTTTGACTTCAGTTTCATTAACTGTACTTATCTCTATTTATTTTAGTTTCGGGTGAAAATAGATTCATAATAAGGTTTAGGTGGTATTTATATTGCAATTGGCTTGAAAATGGTGACATTGCCAAAACGTTACCATTGCAAATAAGAGAAGAAAAATAAATATGGAGGAATAAATTGAGCCTAAACCTTATTTTAATAATTTCTATAATTCTTATAAGTGCAATTTGGGTCCAAGAGGTTGTAGCTGAATTAGATCCCAATACGGTGACAATTTCTTCTGTACCATCATGAGAGGTATTATCAAAATCACTTTCTTTGTCTAACTATATTCAGATGAAGGAAGATCAAATTTATTTATTATTTCATGTAGTTGTGGCCTCCTAGGTGTCACGGTTGCTATGGGATACTTATCACACGACGTTTAGATTTTTAATAATTAAAATATTGTTATTCATCACAGATTACTACTAACTCAAAATGTATTGAAAAGGTAAACGGAGGAGATTAGTTCTCCGTTCCTTTTGCCACCTCGGAAAATGTTGAAAGAATTTATATTTTTAATAAAAATAAACACATTTTATGAACATATTTTGATTCTCTTGGTATTAATATCATCATAAGAGTGATGAAGTTTTTATCCAGATCTGTTCTTCTCTAAATGAGAGTAACACAAACCAAGGATTATGGTATTTTGTATCAACTCAAAAGGTCTCAACGATTACAATACTGGGTTATTATTAGCTTCTGAATAGCTATGTTTTATTACTTAACTGAAGAGTTATTTTCAGTTACTTTCTGCATAAGAAGTTAATTAATTATTGATTGTGTATGAGCCAATTGTGTATATTGAATAGACTTTCATGATACCTAATAATATATTTTTTATATGAATAAAAATCTTTTCTTAATATCTTTTATAATTCAAATGTATCAGGAAGATGAAGAATTGGTATCTAATGTGAGTATTTTGAATTCACATAAGAAATATTATTCATTTAGACATCTTTATATTTTCTTAATAATAAATATAATCAATTTACCAGTTATTTAAACTGTTTGTAAATACAAATGTTTATTATCAAAATATTAAGATAGTCTCATTCATAGGAAGTAGGAGGGAAAAAAAACTACTGGCTGATGATAATCTGTGACCGAAAGGCATGACAACCTCCTCTGCGGCTTGTACAACTATTATAATGCTAATTATTATTATAGAAAGAATTAATAATCATAGGAACCTTATCCATTTATTAACAGTGCCATTGATTTTATATAAAGAAACTGAAGCAGACTTTCTGGTAAGTGGGATGGATTTTGTTTGAGCTTCCAAGATGTTGTCTATTAATTTAGAATCTGGAAAAAAAAATTATCCGATTATTCATAAATAAGTATTCAGTGAATTAATTTGAAAGAAACTACAGTAAGTTAAAAAATATCTAATACAGTATGGAAGAGAAATATTCATTAATTAATTAAGAACGAGTTAGGTATTTTCAAAGTATACAAATATGGATTAATAATTGAGATAACTCAACTTCATTTTCCTCATCTGAAGCTGTTAGGATACTATTTTGATACTCAAAGCAAATGTTATGAAGAACTGCTATTGTAACCATAACTTTCATTTTTCAGCCTTATTACTAAATCAAGAACTGATAATTTTTGCTTCCAGACTAAAAAGAATCTTTCATTTACATTTATAATTCTTAAAAATGATTCATTATATACATTTTTTTGTAACAGTATCATGAAGTAATTGCACACACCACGACTACTTTCATATAATTATAATGGTTCGATGGAGACCAGTTTTAAATTCAGCTCTCAAATTGAAATTATTTTTAATATGATAGAATGATAAGTCAAACCTGGTCATTTTGCAACTAAGTTAATAAACTTTAGATCAGAATTACATATAGTTGGTATGTTCATTGAAATATATCATTTTCCATTCCTAAATAATTGAGCAATATTTCTTCAGGAGATAAAATCTTGAAAAGTATGCCATCAGGGAAATTGAATAATATTATAGAAGTCCTATTTACTTTCCCCATTTTGCGTACACTTTCCAGAAAAAAAAAAAATTGCAGGAATAAAGTTACCAATTCTATAAGATGTTGATTTATCTCGAGAGAAGTACAAAAGAATTTACAGCTGCTCAACGACGTTGAGTGGCTAAATGACCCAGCATACTGATCAGTCCTAATCGATAATATTTAATAACAAAAATGAACAAAAATGAGAGAGAACAAAAATGAAAACATTTCACAGTACCGTCATCCTTAAGTATCAAATGTTATAATGTATTTATTAATTGTTATAATTTCCTTCCTTCTCATAATATTAATATAGTAATAATTATATCCCAAAATTAATAATAGTTTGTTAAATGAATTTGTAACATCACTATGCTTTGCTGGGGGAACAATCATTGGTTATATTATTTCTTAAATAAAGTTAACCACTATGGTACCTATATGAATTCTTGTTAAAGCAGTCCTATCCAACAGTGAGTGAATAATTTTATCTATTAATTTATTCCACAATGTCATGGAGTCCTTTTAGACTTGATGAAATGATACATTGATATTCTAAAAAGAATTAGATAGCAGATCTGAAAAATATAGGTATAATGAATACAACCAAGCTTTAAATATAAATTGCGCTTTAAATGGTTGAGCTCTTTCCTTGAAAATGAACTATAGTTTAAACTATATTTCAATAATAAATAAAAGTTGAATAACCAAATTCTGTTTTGAACTGTTGTAGTTATTAAGCCTAAGTTAATCGAAAGTACAGTAAACTTCAAATGATAAGCTAAATGATACAGTTTTAGATTAAATTTGCTTAATATTTAATCATTAAATCAAGAAGTTGTAACTTGTAAAAAGATATATTACATCTTCTATCTATTTTCATTTTCATTTTTTAATAGTAGAAACAAATCAGAATAGATAAACAATAAGAAAATATTGTTATGAGCAAATAATAATTGAAACTAACAATAAGTATGAGAAGTGAAGGTTAAATATTAAAAAGTTAAAAATTTTCTTGAAATTTGAAGACATTCTTGGCTTTAATTTAAAAATAAAACATCTTTATGTTTCGTAGCAAGCATTTTGAAATGTTCTACAACTGTAGCAAAAAGCAAAATAGTGGAATGAAAAAAATATATTCTTACCTATACTGTCATCAAAAATTAAGTTCACAACTTCCCATTCAAGAAAATCTTCTGTTCGTAGATCTATGAGAATCTGTGAAAACTCGAGACCGGGTTCATAGAGAGGAATAGTGATACCAAAGTCTTTTGGCAGTCTTGGACAATTGGATTCTATTCAATAAACATATTTAGATTTTCTTTTTTGTTTATTTAGATGAAATATTTAAAATAATATTCCATATTATTATTTTTTTTTACCTGTTATTGCAATAAACAATATTGATGTTTCCTGTTGTTCCAAAAACAAATCCCATATATCTTCACAATGAATTATACTAAATATAGCTGTTACATCTGCAAATGTATTATTATGTATTTATATTAAACACCATACAAATAGAAAAATGTTGATATATAGGTACCATCTTTGATTCTGTAGTTCAATTTATTGGTAAAAGTAATCAGTAGTGATTCGCCTTTTAAATATCTATTTGCTATATTAGATACTATTTGTCTTATATTATTATTCAATCCTTTATAATGTGGATATAAGAAATTAGGATCAATAATGACCACTGCAACAAAATAAACAATTTTATCTCATCCAAGTATAACAGAAACAAACTATTTTTTTATACATACATAAATTATCTGTTGTTTTTCTATCTGATGGAGTATAGTAATATTCATAGGCAAATATATTCAAAAACAAATATTGTAATAAGATAAATTTCACCATTTAATTTCAATAAAGAAACGTATTGAAACGCTTTCTTGCTTTTGCCAGAAAGTGGTATAACTTATCAGAGATACTAGAATAAAAGTGACTTTCACTATGACAAGTTTTAAAAATGTATATCCAATCAAAAACATCATCGACTCTAAGACAATTCGTTCAAAACAGATGTAACATGTTACCTTGAAAGATCATGTATAAAGAATTCATGATGGCTATATGTTACTAGGTCTGCTAGGCCAAAATGGGTCAAGTTGAACTTCAAGACAATAAATTACTTCTTAAGTAATTTATAATATGTCAGTAAATATACATTTTCTAAAACAATATGTTATTGTAAAAATAAATATTTTCTAATTTTTTTAAATATACCTATATAATTACCTTCTTAACTACCGGTGGCTTTTAATTTTTTTTCATACATAATACAAATATTTATGTGATAATATTCAATTCTTGTATTTATAATTATAACAACTTTTTCCAATATTTCTTTTGAATCATTTTATTTGATATTAAAATGATTAATGAAACACTTTCTCTTTTTAAACCTTGCACTATTAAGAATTAATTTGATTTATTTATTTATTTTATTTATTAGATTAATTAACAACACTATTAAAATTATTTCTTAAAAGATTTTTTATCTTTCTGCGATGTTAATAAAAATTGTTGAACATTTTAAAACTAAGGTAAGATTTTTTTTTCAATGTTATCATAAACAGTAATTGGAAATGAGTAAATTAGAGATTTTAGAATAATTATTTAATCTTAAAATTTATTAATTATTGAATAACATAAATGGAATGGAATGATTCACAATTGTTAATTCAATTTAAATATGTTATAACCTATGATCTTATTTTAATTTACATTTTATTGTTTCTGTTTTCATTTTTTTTCTTGTAAAGTATGCATTTGATCTTACTTTTGTCTTATAGAGCTTCAAATTTAATTATTTCTATTGGTTCTCCAATGAATGAATTAGCATCGGAGGATTAATAACAAATACATTTCTTAGATTTTTTTTTTGTTGGAATCATCTATAGATAGTGAAAGTATAACAAAAAAATTGTTTTATTTATCCTGAGCAGGGGTGTCCATTCTCCACTTGTCTCTAAGGGTGCATGCTGCCTCCCTAAGAAAATGTATTGTTCCCCACTTATTAAAAATTGTGCAAATGAAAGTAAAATTTTAAAAATTTTTGTTTCTTAAAAATTTTTGTTTCTTGGCTTGAAAGTTCTCTTCAATTGAAACCTAAAAAAAATAAGGTTCTCTTAAAAAAATCATAACCATAAATATGTGCCTAACACAAAAAATCCTTAAACCACAAACTCTTTAATTCTGACCGGAAATTTTAAGATATCTAGTTCTGCCATAAATACTGTTACAAAAGTTCAACTTTGCTTATTATTCATTATTATTTAGATAATCCTTACCTATATCAGGTTATTTTCTTTACATGTCAGAATAATAATCCCAATTAGTTTGTAGTTTTCTTTCATTCAGTTAATATGGAGTAGGGTGATAAATAAAACCAAATAGCTGTTATCGCCTTACACAAAGTTGGAAAATGTAGGTCAAAGATTGTCAACACTTTGGATATCAGCCATATGTTCGTTGACCGCACTATAAATAGATAGAATGAGTGTCAGACTTCGACTGGGCCATTCCCGCACTGTGAGAACGGCAAATGCAGTGAGAGCAGTGGCTTCTAGAATCAGAAGAAATCCCATTCGAAAACAACAAATTATGTCTCGGAAATGGGAATCTCTGTCAGATCAATGTCTTGCATACTAAAAGTGACCTTAAGAAGGGATACATTTCGAAGAATGACAGGACCAAGGCTAACCACTTCTCTAAAAAAATTAGAGTGGATAGATGCAAAGTGCTCCTTGGCCGTTACACCAATGGTCTTCATCGAAAGATTTTGTTTAGCAAAGAAAAAAATTTTACAATCGAAGAAAAATTTAATCACCAAAATGATCATTTGTACGAACACAGCTCTAAAGAAGCCCAGGAAGTCATTGAAAGAGTGGAAAGAGGTCATCACCCTTCCTCAGTGATGGATTGGTGGAGAGTTTGCTTTGATGGCACCACAAACCTCCATTTTTGTGAAAAAGGAGTTAAAACAGCTGCTAAAAACTATCAGGACGATATTTTGGAACCTATAGGCAAGCCTCTAAATGATACTCTGTTTGCTGGAAGTCATTTTGTTTTCCAGCAGGATTCTGCTCCAGCTCACAAGGCCAGGTCAACTCAGCAATGGCTGCAAAAGAACATTCTAGAGTTCATCTCTGCCTCTGATTGGCCCTTAGGAAGCTCTGATCTCAAACTACTAGATTATTGGCTTTGGTCCGAACTGGAGAGGATGGCATGCCACAGAGCACAGCCTAACTTGAAAGTCTCAAACAATCTCTGGTCGGAGTAGTTGAGCGCTTTCCTCAAGAAGTGCTAAGTGCTGCTATTGCTGACTAACAATGGAGATTAAATGCCTGTGACAAGACAAAAGGGGGACGTTTTGAGTAATTTCTTTTTGTTTTTTTTACTCTCTATAGATAAACATTTTATTTTCTAATAAAGTTTTTGAAAAAATTAATTTTTCTGTTGAAATCTGTATATATTTCCTTGTAAAAATATTTATGATAGGACTAGGTATAATGGTAAAATATAAAAAAGATCTCTATAAGTCATCCAAACGAAATCCAGGAGTGTCTGAAAATATTTATGCTGAAAAAATTGATACTTTGGTATCATCAAAAACTCATCTGAAGTACTAAAATAAATTATTCTGATATCTTCAAAAAGATTTTTAAAAATATATAAATGTTTTACATAAAAAAAATAAGAAGAAAGCTCCTTGTTGAAATATAATTAATCTATTTAAAGGCATATCTATTAATTACAAAACATAGATTCTGCAATTCATTTTGTTGGGATCACAGATAACAGCATCTGAAATCTCTAAATTATGACAATTGAATTGGAAAAGAGTCAACTTCAACCAGAAACTGATTAAATGAGAAACTGATGCCTCCTAATCCGCTATTTTAACAATAGTTTAGAAGCTTGGTCATCCTGTTGTATTTTCCTCGTGCATCTTATCGCGATCTCAGCATCATTCCATATTGAGAGAGAAGTGAATGCTGTTGTGTCTTCATTAATAAAATAAAGGCAATTGTCAAACCGAAAATTTCCGCTTCATGACAGATCCGAAAAATATCTCATTCGTTTGACAACCAACACACAACAAAACTCAAGTTGGAGAAATAATGAGATGGAGAATTAAGTTTTCGACTAATAAATATGATAAATTTTACAGACCAAAAATATAGAACATCGCAACTGATATACTTTTTGTAATTTCTCCTGTAAATTATGTAACTTTATTTGGCTAGCACGCAAAAATCGATTATCCTAGCATAACTAGAATGTCCTTTGGGACAATCCAAGAATTCACGGGCGGATCTACGGGGGGGAGGCTTTCGGGCTGAAGCCCCCCCCCCCCAAAAAGGGAAAATATAACCATGTTTTATCGGAAAAAATACTAAAAAATTATCTCTTAAAGTATAATTATTCGTCTAATTACATTTAAAAGGGCTTTAGGAATCACTTAAACACCAGTTCGTATAGGTACTTCGTTTCTTTCGTATTTTCCAAAGTAATTATCGTTACTTTTATGAAAAAAAAAGCTTTCGGGCTGAAGCCCCTCCCAAAATTAAATCCTGGATCCGCTCGTGCAAGAATTTACCTTACTTACTGGACGAATTAAGCAGCATGGCATCGTTTCACTTGATGGTGGGTTCCTCTTACATGTTGCAAGAACTAAAACTATTTCTACATACTGGAGTAGTTGCGAAATCGAGTATATATTATTGATGCCACTAGCGGATTCAGGATTTAATTTTGGGGGAGGGGGCTTCAGCCCGAAAGCTTTTTTTTCATAGAAGTAACGATAATTACTTTGGAAAATACGAAAGAAACTAAGTACCTATATGAACTGGTGTTTAAGTGATTCCTAAAGCCCTTTTAAATGTAATTACACGAATAATTATACTTTAAGAGATAATTTTTTAGTATTTTTTCCGATAAAACATGGTTATATTTTACCATTTTGGGGGGGGGGAGGGCTTCAGCCCGAAAGTCGATGGCGTAGGAAAGTGTCTCTTCTTCTTCCCCCTTAAGAAATTTTATTTATTTCCTTTTATAAAAAAATAGAATTATAAAAAGCATATTCAGCATATATAATTACATATTGTTGTGGTCTAGTCCATGTTTTCTCCCTTGTTCCCTGGTTTAAAACTGTTCACTTCGAAAATTAATAACTCCGACCAAATGTGCCCCTTCAAAAATTCAAAATATGCCTCCCTCAAAAATGTTGATGGCGTAAATTGCGCCATAAAACTCCCTTCTGGGCACCACTGGATGGCACCTAATAAAAATTACTGGCACTTGCTACTGTAGTAGGCTATGACCCATTTAGCCTATAAGATAAGTATGGAATGACTGATGTCATTTGTAGTGAGACTAATCCCTTGGCTTCAAGTTTTTTGCCATTTTTTCATCAGGAATACCTTAAACTATACAGGTTTCGGATAGCTTTGCCGTCTATTCTTGTGAAAAAACAAAACGATATTTTTAGGCGTCAAATATTTTAAAATAAACCAACTTGCGTGGTTGAGGTTTTCAAAATACGTATTCATTCTGTAATTTGACCACAAGAAAGGAGCGTTCCTTCTGAATGGAATAAAATAATATAAAATATATAAAATATATAATATAAATATATAATAAAATATATAATATAATATAAAACAATGGCATTTTAGACGAAAAAAATTCCAAGGCAGGTACAGTAAATTTCTGAAATCACAATTATCGTTTTCAATCATGGCAATAGACATGAACGGGTTGAAACTTCAGCCAACCTTGCCTGCAGTTCTTTCTTATTTAGTAGACGTGCTTGCTGAAGCTATTTTGTTGCCCATACAGGCGATTCTTAGAATGTTGTAAAGGCTTATATAGAAGTTAGAGCACCCACTCAAAGTGAATAAATAGTACTAGTACATCATGCTTTAATACTAGGTCATCTTGGCATTCACTGACTATTCATGAGGATGACTCGCTAGGTTTTGCAGCCTATAATTAAGTGCTTGGGTACCCCTCAAACGAATTAGAAGATTAATTAATAAATAATATTTCACGAGAAAGCGTTATTATTATAATCGTAGACCAAAAATAATTTAATAATCGATTCTCTTGGTTGATTACCTTTTACCTATTAAAATTATACTGTTTGAAAATAATCAGAAGAGAATTCCGACTGTGTATAGCGAAAAAGTTTCGATTTACATATAATTTTCCAGTATAAAATAATAATTAAATTTAATGTAGACTTAATGAACCAAACTTTATTTTGTCCATCTTGTTAATATTAATAACATCAGTAATAGATAAGATAATATTGGAACTTCTCAAAATATTGTTGAGATATCTAACTCACAAATTGAATCTCTACCATCTTGAATTTAGTTTAATTTCTTGTAATGAACAACGGCCTAAGTAAAGGAGATTTTTCAAGGTCTCTTTTTTCCAGTAAAATATATTATATCAACTTATGCATTCACGTTAATTTATTGTTTATCTTATTTGCTTGGCAACATTGTTGATTCTGAAGTTCGTAAAATGTGGCTTGTGTTTAGGTATTAACATGGCGGACAAAGTTTTAAAAGTAAGTTGTTTATATTACTTTTAATAATAAATAAACAATTAAATTTTGTTACTAGAACAGGAATACTTCTAGCTATTCTTTTCTGTGTGTCGAAATTTTGTTCATAACCTCTTATCTTTATCACAATATTATTCCGGCGTTTTCATGTTTACACAGAGCATTTTATTTATTTTTTTTAGCATATCCCGGAGCAAAAGCTCAAAGCTTTTTCAATTGGAACAATGGGAAAAAGACAGCCATCCAAGAAGGAAATTGAAGAACAGAAGAAAAAGGAACAAGAAAAAGCTGCAGCACAAGTAAGTTGTGTGTTATCCTCACACCTCTGTATGATTGTTCTTCACTTTACATTGCTAATATACTTTTGTTTCAAGGCTTTTGAAGAATTTGTTGCAACATTCCAAGAGCCAGCAAACAAAACAAGTAAAGTCTGGGTGAAAGCAGGAACTTATGATGCTGGAAAAAGACGTAAGTCCTCTCCCAAAAGTCCTTCCCATCTCTCATTTTTGGTGTTATTTTATGTAGTTTAAAAAAGTCAATATTAACTAATCGAGCATGTGAACAGAGGAAGATACTAAAGAGAAGGGTAAATTGTACAAACCTCAATCAAGGCTTGATGTCCCTGTGGAAAAAAATTCAGCAGAAAAAGCGCAGGAGTATGCAAGGCTGCTTGGTGAGAGAATGAAACCTGAAAGACCTGGAAAGAAAAAGGAAAAAGAAAAAAAGAAGAGTAATTTAGAGTTGTTTAAAGAAGAACTTAAAATGTAAGTAAAATTCTAGTTGGGCAGGTAATAGTATATTCATGTATTTGGATGAATTTTGGTATTATACTCAGTATTATATTTAATAATGTTTTCAAATTAGGATTCAGGAAGAGAGAGAGGAAAGACATAAATACAAAGGTGTAGTTAAAACAGCAGCCCTTATTGACCCTGAAGTAATCAAAGCAAGTGAGTTTGTTATAATTTTAGTTTATCTTCTAGATGGTTAACATGTCTTATAAAATGGTGTATTTAAAAATTCTATTGAAAGGCTGTCTGTTTATATGTAAAACTGTTTAATTTGTTCTATGATTGTATTTGGTTAATTTGTCTTAGTATATGTCAAACTGTTTAATTTGTTCCATGATTGTATTTGGTTAATTTGTCTTAGAAATTGTATTGTAAGATCCTCAGTTTGTATGTCAAGCTGTTTTAATTTGTTTTTCAATCTTTGTCTAAAATGTTTCAGTATAGTTCTAGAACAAGTATTTCTTTATATTTAAATTCGTGTTTGTTTTTTTTGGAAACTGATAACAGTAGATATGCTCTAACCATGAAATTAAGTGTTGTTTTTTTACTTTATCCTATACAACTTCTTTTTCTTATGCTGTTTGTTTGTCAAAAATATGTTCATTCACAATTCACTGAGATCATTATATTATTTATGATAAGGTTCTTGCTTATAGGAGGTCAGATAAATAATGTCTTAAGATTTTTTAAAATTGATATCTGTTGATTTCTAGTAAATGGCGATCATTGTTTGTTTGTTTGTTTGTTTCGATGTCTAGGCGCAAAACATCCAGGTCATAAGCGCCCGATCAACTAAATAACATCATTTAATGCTATTTGGATGATTGGTACAAAGATCAAAATAAAAAATAAAAAAATAAAATAAAAAAATAAAAAAAATAATAAGCAAATAAAAAATAAAATAAACAAAGAAATAGATTGATAGAATAAAATAAATAAATAAGGATAATAATAGACATTTATAGGTAATAAGATGTATAAAAAATGTATAAATAAATAAACTTTAAAAAATAGCAGTAGAATCAATAAATGAATTGAGATTAATAAACAAATGAATTTAAAATGAAATGAAATCAAGTGAAAAAATAAATAAATAAAGAAATAAGCAATAATAGGAGAAAATATAATAAAAATTAATAGATAAAAAAAATTAATAAATAAAAAAAGCCTGTCAAATGTGTTTTTTAAGTCTTTTACTATCCAGGAACTTGATAACTTTGGTAGCGATTTCTTCTTGATTTCCCAGGGATGCTGATATATTCTGGGGTATTCCAAAATCTTTTAATCTTGCGGTGTAAAAAGGGCATTCTTCCAAAATATGTTTTATAGTTAGTGATTGGTTACACTTTTGACATCGGGGGATAGAATCTTTTGTTATGAGGTGGAGGTGAGTCAGTCTAGTATGTCCGATCCTCAGCCGCGTGAGTACGACCTCTTCTCTACGACTGCTGCGTCTGGAGCTGGTCCACGGTTGCACCTCTTTCTTTATTGTTTTTAATTTGCTAGGTGCGCTGTTGTCCCACCGTCTTTGCCATTCTCGGGATATGGTTTCTATCAGAGGTCGTGCAAGTTCAGATGGTGTCAAAAAAACTTTACCGCGACCTGGAAGAGTAAGAGCTTCCTTTGCTGCTCTATCAGCCATTTCATTTTCTTTAATTCCTATATGGCCAGGCGACCAGATAAAATGTGCCGTTGTTCCAACTCCATGAAGCATTTTTATAAGACTTAGAATGCAGTGTATCCCTGGATGGTCTGGCTACATGTTATTCATAGCTTTCAGAGTACTTAGGGAATCCGATACAACAACCACATTTGCAACTGGCTTCTTCATGACGTATCGGAGACTCATTGCTACGGCGTTAATCTCTGCTGTGTAAACACTACAAAGATGGTGTAATTTATATCTGTAGGTAGTATCAGGAGTGACAAAGGCTGAAGCAGTAGATGCATCTGATTTGGATCCGTCGGTGAATATTAGAAGATGTTCAGGTAATGTGATGATTATTTTGTGGAATTTTTCTTTGTAATCTGCAGGTAATGTAGTATCTTTGGTGAATTGGGTGAGTTGGAGATTTAATTTAGGTTGTATATAGGTCCAAGGGGCTGTTTATTTTTCTATTTCATGTAATGTTATTTGTTTTAGTTTATTTATAATAAGAGACATTCTTTCTGCCAATGGTAATGTGGTATTCCTTTTTTCTTTAAATCTTTTTGAGAATTTAGATTGAAAAACATATTTATGGAAGGGATGTGAAGTTTGCGGGTATAATTTAGTAATATAGTTTACTGCAAGTTTCTGTCTTCTAAAGTGCAGTGGTGTAAGGCCAGATTCGACACAAATGCTCAGAGTTGGGCTTGTTCTAAAGGCTCCAGTTGCAAGGCGTATTCCAGTGTGGTGCACAGAGTCGAGCTTGGCTAGAGCATTTTTCCGGGCAGAACCGTAGACAAAACTACCATAATCTATTTTTGGTGATTATGTTGGACTTGTTAGCATGCCATACTAGCATTAAAATAATTACAGTAAAACAGGCTTTATTTTCTTTTAACAGCTTATATTGATTTTTTTTTAAATACATATAATGTTCAGATATATAACAAATTGGAAAAAGGGGTGTGGTCAAAGATTCATGCCAATGATAAATGAGGTTTTATTTGTTTTCCTTTACTCTTTATGGCAGTGGTTCTTCTTCTGGGATGCTTATATTTCTGGGGGTGAAAGAGCATATCTTGGGATGTGAAACTGTGGCTCTTTCAATAAAATAATCTCATATTAATAGAATTATTGTGAATTAAACCTAGCCAACAACAAACAACCTAGCCAATTAAGTTTAAATATTGCTTTTTATGTTATATAGTAATTTATATATATATATATATATATATATATATATATATATATATATATAATGTGTATTTTGTAAGTAATCTTGGTATACGTTTATGAAATTAATGGTTTTCAACAATGAAAAAATATATAGGCATTGTTTTAAGGGGTGCTTGAGTTTATTTTCAGATTCATGTGGGTGCTGACCACTAAAAAGATTTAGTACCGATGCTCTAAATTCTACAGGTATAACCAAGTTACTATTAACAGTATCGAGATTCATTTCGCTGGTCTGCCGTATTTAAACCCATTCAGATTGGATTCTAATGAGCCATTAGACGTGAGGTTGACAAGGCGACCTCTTACCATTCTCAGCCATCATGACCAGCTTATATTTGTGAACTCTTTGATGGACTCCTGTTCAACTTCTCTTTAAACTGGATTAATGGAAACAACATCCATTTTGTTATTAAATTAGGCATAAATACATCCTTGGTACTACAGCCCAGTGTGGGCCTTGGCCTTCCATTGAAAATTTTTCCATTTGTATCTGTGTAGCGCATTAGACAACCAGTTTGTTACTGCTTAAAGTTCCACCTATCTGTTCACTTATATTGATAGCAATAAACTGTAATATAAAAATATTAATGATTATTTTTTTTTTATAGCTGGTGTCATGCCTGATGAAAAAGGTTCTTTTGATAGTGGGGATCCAAATACTACAAATATCTACTTAGGAAATATTAATCCCAAAGTAAGTAATTTAAAAATATAAATATTTAATTGTTTCAATATCATAAAATTTTAAATATTACTGAATAATTTTTTCAGATTACTGAACAACAATTGATGGAAGTTTTTGGCAAATATGGTCCCCTTGCTAGCATTAAAATTATGTGGCCCCGCTCAGATGAAGAAAAGCTGAGAGGGCGAAACTGTGGATTTGTTGCATTTATGAATCGAAAAGATGGTGATAGAGCTATGAAAGCTTTGAATGGTAAATTTAGTTTTTTCTTTTGTTAAATACAAGTTATTAGTTAATGATATATTAACTAATGGTGCTTTGAATTATATGACATTAATAAGATGCTTTACTTTTGTAGGCAAAGACATCCTTGGATACGAAATGAAGCTGGGGTGGGGCAAAGGCGTACCTATCCCTCCATTCCCTATCTATATTCCACCTACCCTCCTGTCGTTGGCTCAGCCACCTCCTCCATCTGGGCTCCCATTCAATGCCCAACCCCACCCGAAGGATAGAAATAAGGTAATATTTAACGAAATATTAATACTTGTTAATAATACTTTTTTTTTAAAATACCTATTTAATTCATTATTATTGATTTTTTTTCAATTAATTATTATTTTATTATCTAGCCAAATGTATTATATAATTTTGAAATTTTAGATCCCGAGAATGAGACCAAATGAACCCTACCCTATGAATCCGGAGGACATGGAGAAAGTAGAGAAGGTAATAAATCAGACAGGGATCAGGTTTTTATAGCAACCTTTTGTCACCCCTTTTCTGTCTGGTTTCATTTTGATTATAATTTTGATGATATAAGCATCCATTTCTATAACTTGTTTTCAACATTACAACACTTGTTTATCCATTTAATTTTGGTCGATAGTTGAGTTTCTCAGGACACCTGTAATACAGGGCAACATTTATTCAATTCAAGATAATATGAAATTTTAAGTTCTTTATCTATTTAAATTAAAGTTCTTTCTGGGCATCGATGAAGTTAGTAATGGCAGAGTATATAATCTGTATTACAATATGTAATAAGTTCATTTAATTAATTAAGATATTCAATTCAAGACAGATTATTAATCTTATAAGATGTCCATCAGCTTTGCATTTCTTTAAAGTTTGGGAAATTCTGCTGGAATTTTCAGTGTCTTTTTAAAAATTAGGAATTAAACTTGAAAAACATGCATCAAAGACACATGAATGATTCCTGATTATTGTTGCCTTAGCTCTATTTCATTCTGTTGGAAATGCTTAGGTTCTACCCAATTAATAATGTTAGCATTGTTAATTCATTCAAAATAAGCACTATAGATTCTAATAATTATTATTGTCAGTGGTGCCCAGAAGGGGGTTGCACCTTAAACATTTTTGAGGGTGGCACTTTTTAGTGTGGGTGACACCCATTTATAATGTTATGAATTTGGTAGGAGGGGAAATAATATTTTTGTGAGGTTTTAATGCAATATGCACCTGCGCTACATGATTAATTGAGCATCTGGCAAATTTGTTGTAGAATCAAAAGATAAAACTAAATTTTAAAAAAGGATAAACTTAATATTTTATTTTCATTTGTACCAGTTTTAAATAAAGAAAAGCAATAAATGTTCTTGGAGAGAGAGGTAACCACCATCACCTTTGGGGAGATCATCACCCCTGATTCGAAAATCAAGAATTTGATATTATATATTATGTCCACCTCTCCATATTAGTTTTTATTTACATTCATTTACAATATTTTTTAATGATTTAATAGACGTAAAATAAATAAGGCTTAAAAAAAAAAGATAGTTGTAATAAACAATACTTCAATCGACAAAGAAACTAATTACAGATATCATGAATTAAGTTACTTAATAGTGCTACCATTATAGGGACTAAAAATTAAATTAAATGAAAAAATTTTGGTGTTAGAGGATTGCTTGAAAATATTCAGACTGATCCCATACCTTCTGAAACTACTGACTTACCTATGGGGTTTTTCTTCCACTTTGAAATCATCTCTAACCAAACCTTATCTGTTAAATGGTTTTCATTTGGCTCTTTATTACAATAGTGGGTTGTTTAGTAACCTGTTTCGTTAAACAAAAATAAATGTTTAAGAATAAGTTCAACATATTTTAAAAGTTGATAATTCCTTCTAATGTTGCCAAATAGTTCTTTTAGCTAATATAATATTATTCTTATGTAGTCATAAATAAATATTTAATTAGAGCAGATGCCCTCAACATTAGACAATAAATAGCATCTTATTGTTACATCTTTTGTTTTTCAATTAGTTTTTCATTATCTTCTCCTAAATTTAACCTTTAAGATCTAACACTTATGTTTTGGACATCTGCATTTTTTTTTTTTTTTTTTTTTTATGTTATACAAGTTACTGTTAGTTTCAAATAATATATATTAAAATAGTGGTGGCTCTTATTTAAATAGCTTTCAATCTCTCAGTGTATATTTCTATTTAAACCACACCGCTCGAAATTTTAAACTTTAATTAACCAGAGTGCAGTTTACTCTCAATTGCAGTGCTTAATTGTAGTTAAACATTAGGGCATTTGACATTAAAATGCCGTGGTAACCAAATATAATTGATTCTGGTTTTAGAGTATTAGACTATTACAAACCCTGTGTGTTTTGAGCTCATAATTTTATTCATCTTTTGGTTACATATGTTATATAGATTTTAACAATACTTTATAATAAGTTTGTTTGTTCCAAGTCTGTGAATTTGTAAAAATTTCATATATTTAAAGCTATTTATTGAGGAAGGAGATGGTCCGAGGTGGCGATAATAAAAATAGTGAAAAAACTATTGTAATTCAAGCCAACATTTAAGCTTTTTTATATTAAAAGACCATTTTAATTCTTAAGTAAACAATTTAACAAGGAAAGTAAAGGAATTTATTTAATATAATTTAGTGTGTTATTTGAATTTGACGTATATTATAACAGATACACATTAGATAAGTTCATTATGTGTTAATAATTATGACTAATCATTATCTGAAAATTCTGTTTGTCTTGAAATGATATTTAAAAGTTCTTGTGAATGTAGGATTGAATGATTAACTTTTTTATGTGTTATTTTTACTTCTGAGCTTAGGATTATGTTCTAATTTGTTTTCAGTGGTAATAAATTTTGTAGAATTTCTTACTAAACTAGCCTGTCAATATGTGATACATGGATCCGGCCAGAAATATTCGGTTCCATATAATTTCAATTCTGTTACTCTACTTATTAGAATTTCTGACTAATAAGAATTGTTTTTTCTCAACTTGATTTGTTTGTTAAAAGAATCTGCAAAAACAACATGACTCTGTATTTATATCTTTACACCATTTAATTCAGTAATTTTTGCTCAATTAATATTCCTGAAAATTTCTTTTTCATGCGGTATAAGTAATAGTAATTTAGAATCATCCATTCATATTGAACTTGTCTCTTAATGTTATTTAATGCATAGTGGATATAAATACCAATTCTCAAAAAGGATCTAACATAACCGATTCATATGCATCTAGTGATCAGAAATGTATTAGAGAAATTTCTAATAACCAGAAAATTAATATTAAAAAAAAAAAAATTTATATAAGCGAATTATTTCCTATTGTGTTTATTTTATTTATATGCAGCAACTATCGAATATTAAAAAAAAAAATACAAAAATAATTGGTGAAAATTCCATAAAATTTATCGAAAAAAAAATGATTTCATAACGGTTAAATTTAATCTTTATTTATTTTTTTACTCATTTCTCACTCACTTAAACAATAAGTAAGTGAAATTTAATCTTCTATATTTGCTTGAATGTGTCATAATTCTGCTTTAATAAGTATAGTGCATAAGTGCTATAACAATTTTTAATTATCATATCCAAATTTAAACTGAACAGTTTTTAAAAATATAATTTACTACTAAACTATATTGACTTATTTTTTTGCACATATTTTTCAAATAATAGTCTATTGAAATGGATTTTACAATATCAGTTTTTTAAGTTATCCGTATCATATAATCTTGTGAGCCACCACTAAGCTCTAAATAATTTTAGAGATGTATTTTATCATTAATTGTATTTGTGCAAATTGAATGTGCACAAGTACGAACATTTATTAAATTTTATCGGTTGTGTGTGTAATGAGTTTCGCTGCTTTTGTCACAGATTTTACCTCAGGCACTCGTGAAAGTGGTTATGCCGACTGACAGGTAAGCATCACAGAGACAGAGGTTAGGTTCCCTACAGGTAAGGTTATGTTATGGTTCCAGGGTGGAGTCCAAGAAAACAGGGCCTTATTGGCAGACAGAATAATAAAATAGTGTCGGTGTAAAGAAAAATTAAATAAGAGGAAGAAAAGGCGTGACCTTACGAGACGAGCACAGGGATGAGGAACCAGAGGCGCTGATTTTATCTTTCAACGTTAATTTCATCCCTTAATGAATAGGTTAATATTTCTCAGGCAACAGGTGATAAGTTTGTTGGGATCATCTGAAATACTATTTTTGCTGCACAAAGCTACTGCAAATATTTAAGGCTTGTTTTCTTTTTGGTTTTTAACATTTCTGTCAAATTATTACTTGAAAAATTCATCCCTGAATAGTGTAATGGCAACTTCCTAAACTCAGCACTCAGCTCATATCTGATATGCTTGTATCATTATTGCCCATCTGTGATCCATGAGTCTTAATATAAATTAATACAAAAGATATGGTTTATTTAGGTTTTGTTAATTGATTATTGTTATTATTTTTTCTATAGCCTGTTCATACAAGTCTTACAACTTGTAGGCTTCCCCTAATTAAGAAGGTAATGGTCTAACTTCCCGCGGGGACCAGCCATAGTGGAAAATAGGGCCGGGAATCGATCCTATGATCTTGGGTTTACTAGTACAGCATGCTAAACACTGCTACACCGGCTCCATTGTTATTATTAATAATAAGTAATTACTTGAAACAAATTATCAGATGTTTTTGTTGTGATTCAATATCATATACAGTTTTAAATTTAATTAGCAACAGTTATTGAAGTTAAAATTAAACTCCTTAATTTCTTCTCCTTATATTTACATTACATATTGAGAAAAAAAAAAATTATAATTACAACAATATTTTATTTGTGTATAACTCAATTACTAGAATCATATTTTTTATTTTACTATATAAAAGATCATTAGATTCCGAAGAGAAAAACTATTCTTCTCTTCAATTATTTACTACAGTCAAACATCAATCCACAGTCATTAGATTTCCTTAAAAAAAAAAAGTGTTTCTATACGTGCATATGTTTTTTAAATTATTCTGCCCATGTTTCCATGGAAACTTCTCCACCTTAGTTCATTTTTTATTTATATCACGAAAGCTATACATCCATCTCCCATAACATTCCAGATCGACATTTGAAAGATAATTAAAGTGTCTATAAAGCTAATCATAAAAATATTGTACAAATATTAGTGAACATATTAGGAATAATTTTTATTTGATAAGTCATAAGAGAGGATGGGAAGTATCAGATAATTTTGATTATGTAATTATTTGGAACTAATACTCCGTTATAATAAAAATTCTTGTGGTATTTTATTATCACTAAAATATTATTATATAAATAATAGTTTTATACTCTTTGTCTAATTACTTGTTTATAAAAATCTCGTTAGCATATTTACTACCAGCTCTCAATAACTTATATTTCTAGAAAAATAAACAGTGTTATGATACAGTACAAGGTTACGATATATAGAATCTTTATATAATAAATAGCATTTAAATTATTATTATTATAGTATTTTATTGCTAGAGAAATAATCTGGTTATGGAATAGATATATTACCAGAGTACCTTATGGATTTCTTATTTGTTTTATCTTGGGCTGTTTTTGAACATTATTATATGGAAGTTTGTTTAATTAATTGAAATTGACTACAAGTTTTCTGCTCCTTAAATCATAAAATCGAAGTAAGGTTATGGATAATTTACAAGATTAATTAGTTTAGGCAAGTACTAGTTGAATTAACTGACATCTTTTTTCCCTTTTGTGTTGTCATTTGGTTATTTTAATTATAATTGTTTAAATTTTAGTTATTCGAGTTTTATGTAAAAAAAAAATTCCCATTCTATAGAATAAAAAAACTGGACACTATATCATCATAGTCACCATGTAGTTGATTATATTTCATTATTGGTTGCTATTTACTAGATTTTCTTGGGAGCAATTAATTTCAATGGGTATTTTATAATCAACTTTAATTTCTTGTTCATTTGTTATTTTATTCTGTTAGTCTACTGTTGGTTTAAATTTTGAGCGACAAACTATTTTATCAAGTTTTACTTTGACAAAAATGTTACCAAGAAATGCTTAAGCCTATTTTCATTCTCAGTGCTTTTGTGTAATTTAAATATTATATTAAAAATGCAAATCTTACAGCTGCCTTAGTTTTTAAATCCGATAAAGTAAACAAACAAGACAATTATAAAAGATACAGTTCCGTTAATTTCACAGCCAAATCTTTAAAATATTTAGGAAACAGGGGTCACACTGTTCCTGGTCTTTTATCATGCATTTAGGATCTGTTCATTTCTTTTATTATTATTGTCATATATCCTTTGAGAAACTTTTAAAGGTTGCTAAACTATTCAGTATACTTTGCTATAGATTGTTAATATAGTACATCTTTTAATTTGCTATGAATTATTTGAAATATTGAAAATCTGGATTAATAATATGACTGATCCTAAATGTTTAGTTGAGGGAAATTGAAAATTACAAATTAATTTAATTTTTATTATCAATAGTAATAGTATTATAATTTTAGAATAATATAAAAGGAAGGAAAACAAAGAATAAATATACTATATTAGTATTTTTAAAATAATCTTTTATTGGTTCATGCAAATTCATAGTTTTGGAATATATGATTATCTAGATAATCTATTTATTTGAGCTTACACTATTTTCAACCAGGTTTGTGATATGTATCTTGATAATGTGTTGTTAATCACAATCAATCACTAAATGATTTCATAGGTTTTCTTATTACTTTTACTAATCTTGTGTTTTTGTAATTTTTGTTAAGTTTATGAGCTGACAGTAATAGAATGATCAGTTTTTTAAAAAAATGGTCTTTGTTTTCCTTTTATTTAATAAAAGGTGTTCCTTTTTTTAACTTAATACTATTAATGTTTTTTGTTGTAACGATCGGTTTGTTTTTTTGATCCTAAATAAAAAAAAAAAAGTATTCCAAAGAAATGAAGCATCTCAATTATAGTGCACATGTTATAACAGAGTGTCTACCAGTCAGGAAATTTGATAATATGTTCAAGATTTAGTTTGATCGGGAATTCACAGTAAATTATATCAAAGTCGTGAGTTCTAAATCTTTTCTTTCTGTGTGAATATAAAGGAGAAATATAACATGTTTTTTTGGAATCATACTAAGCATTCGAAAGCAATAATAAAGAAATATGCGATATTCATTTAAAAATAATAAGCCTTATAATAATTTGCAACCTCATTAAATAAAAACATAATATTTCTCTAATTTAAAATTAATCTTTATTTAGTTTATTAGCACATGTTTGGAAAAATATTTGTCCGCATTTTCAGAAAATTTGTTTGAAAAGTCTGAAACTTTACAAAAAAGTTAGGGATTTTATTTACCAAATTTGGTAGCCACCTGTTACAATGTTTAAAATGTTTCTTTCATACTGGAATATGGATTTTAATCACCCAATTGAATTTTTATTTTAATATCAGTGATAATTTAAAGTTAATTCAACTTGGGGTAATTGATATGACTGTTAAAAGAAAATTAAATAATCGTAACCATTTTACTATCATCATTACTGTGTGTAATGTTTTCCATTTAGTTTTTAAAAGCTAGTTTGCTGTTTACAAATTTTAATGTCTTGTTCTAACTTAGCAGTGCAGAATCTTCTCTGTTTAAACCATAATTTGCTTTAATTAAGTAATTAAATTTTATTGCTTTTGAATGAATGAGCATGAGCTTAATTGGGGTTGAGATTCATTAATGGTTATTTTAATTGGATCGGATTATATCTGTTGTTTTCTAGAACTAGACCTTATAAGCTGAAACTAAAATATAAACTATGATCTTGGGGAAATTGAGTTTTAAATATTAAATTTTTACTTTACTCATTAGAGTTTTAATGATTAATTCATTTAGACTTTAGTTGGTAACATAATTATATGAAAATGAATATATGCAATTTCTCAACCTCTGCCTACTAATGGATATTGATATTGAATATATTTTTCTTAAAATGTTGCTCTTCATATTAGTTTTCTTTTTTTCAAAATAATGTAATATCATGTTTTTACTTTCTCTTATAACCTAGTAATGATCTTAATTATATCAATTTTTTAAAACTTTTAATGAACAAAAAAAAGCAAAGTAAACAATTTTGTTCTAGACCTTTGATTTTTTTTTCATTTTATAACCTTCTTTTGTAGAGGTTGGGAAGTTAATTTAATATTTAGTTAAAAGCTGATTTGATCTTGCATCTTCATTAAGTACTTGAAATATTAAATTTAGTCAATGTTTTGTTGTTGTTTTTTGTATAAACAATTATACATTATTAATTTTTAAAAATTATAAATATAAACTATAAAAATTATGTACGGTTGACAATAGGATGCAGGATCATATTAAAAATGACTAAATTAGATGATAGAGATGATTTGTGGGTAAGTATTGTTGGGGTTAGAAAGATAATGTTATACATATAGGAATCTCCTCATGCTGATTCACCACATGATTGAGTATGTAATCCGGGAAGGGCCGATGTTCGAGGCGATGATCATGAACAAAGAAATCAGTAATCCCATGTTCAGGTAAGTCTTCATAAATTTATTATTGTTACTTTTTTATTACACTTGATAACATCTATAACGACATTAGATTCAATTGAAAATTTTGGGCGACTTAATCAAGCAGCCCTGCATAATAAATATTTTTATGAAACAAGTTAAGTTTTCTTAAACCTGAAAATAGAGTTCCTTGTTTTGATTATTTTTTATTTTCTAAATTTTTGGAATTTTTCTTTTTTCCATAGTTGGTATAAAAGATAACAGACATCTATTACTTATTATAAAATTTAATTTTATAAAAACTGACTAGCCCCTTAAGGATCGTTGTAAATGATATCCAATGTAATTTCTTTTTTCTTTTTTTTATTGTTAAAATTGTATTCTACTTTCAACTAAGGATTTTACTGTTTGTTTTAAAGAGAACTTGTTGTTATATTAATTGTATAAAAAGTGGTATAAGCTAGGAAGATTAAAGTACAGGCATTTCAAATCGTATCTATGTTCACTTCTGAATCTCTTTCCACTTTCTCCTCTGGTCAAACATGCAATCTCTTAACATAGGATTAAAGCTCATCAAACAAGAAAGTTTTTCTTAAAGTGGGATATCTTCAGTCCAGTTGTGGGGTTATAATAACAATCACAAAAAATCCTTGATTTTATGAAAAACTAAACTTACTGTAGTTTAACTACTTAAAAATCCCCCTTTAAATAGTTTTAAAATAGATAAGATTTACTTGCATTTAATGTAAATTTAATCCAGTTCAATGAAAGCATTGGTTGTAACCTAAATTAAACATTTTTTTAGTTATTGCTATTTATTCAACATAAAACGTGGTTGGTTTTAAAATTAAAGTTTCCTGGTTCTCTATATTTGATCTGACCATGTTTTATGGTAACTTTTTATAAGTTTTGATATCTTTTATCACATATCAATAATATGAAATTACTGTTAATCTAAACTTACTGTTAATCTAATTTATCACAAAATTCCACATTGATTTTTATCAAATATAATTCTGTTGTCAATGACTTTTTAGAATCATTCATAGAAAGAAACTTTGAATAATAATTTGAACGATTGAAAACTAATAAAACTTTTAAATGTTATCTTCTAATATGAACAACACCAATTTCGTGGTTTGAAGCAGTTTTTGCTTAAAGTAGAATACAATAAATATAATCTCTTAAATATCTCTGTAGCATTAATTTTACAAAATACCAAATCTATTTAGTCGTTGAAAACATATATTTACCTTGTGCCATTTATTATTAGGTTTTTGTTCGACAATCAATCACCTGCTCATACTTATTACCGCTGGAAATTATTCTCCCTGCTCCAAGGCGATTCGCAAAAGGAATGGTGCCTGAAAGAGTTCAGGATGTTCAAAGGTAATTTGTTATTTATTTAATATTTTAAACTGTTATAATGTTAATGAAATTCACATTTTATTTTTGTTATTGGTACTGACAGGGTTTTTCCAATACATTTATTAAATTTTATTTATGATATATTGAACAAACTAGTAATAATATTATGTCATTTTAAATAAACTAGTTAAAAATCGTTTCTTGATCACTTTTCTCTTTATTTATCTTCTAATTGATAAATTTTGATTCTTCTGATATAAAGGGCTAAAATCTTTCAAATTCATCTCTATTTCTTTTTACCACCATGTTTTTCCGTAATATGCTTGTGGATTATGTTATTTAATTTAATTTATAAAATACCTACATTGTAAACATAAAACTGTTACAATACCACGTTGCAGAAGCATATAAGTGCAACTATTTATAAACCATTCTCTTGTAAGTCCTTTAAACCTGTAAAATTACTTGTACCTCCAATGGTATAATCCTCCAATCTGACTTAATTTGATTCAATAAAGTTCTATTATACAAAAAAAAAAATTATTATTGGTTCTTAGGTGGTTCAATATGGCGACCTCCACCAATGAACATGTATACGCAGGGAATGCCCGAAGAACTGATAGAGAGGGATGAAGAGAGAAAAGGTGGCCTCTCACCAGCTCAGAGAGATCGCCTTGAGCAGCTCATTCGTCACATGACACCAGAACGGTTAAAAGTTGCGGATGCCATGGTTTTTTGTATTGAGCATGCCGAAGCCGCTGATGAGATCTGCGACTGTATCCTGGAATCTCTTTCCAATAACACCACTCTTCTGTACAAGAAGGTGAAGATCATTTAATATCTTGGAATAAAGTACCCATTATCTTATCATTATTGTAATTTTTTTAATTATTGATATTATTTTTTACAGATAGCAAGACTTTACCTTGTATCTGACATATTGCATAATTGTAGTATCAAAATGACTAATGCTTCAAACTATCGAAGATGGTAAGTGTATTCTATTTCATCAACGTATTACAACAAATTTTAGATAGATAACTTTATTACATATACATTTTCTTTCTTAAATATGTGCAATGAATAATAAACAATAAAGTATGAATACATCAAACCACAGTTTGATATATGTAATCTAAATATACTTTATTAAATACTTAATAGTTGATCGTTGCATTATAAACGAAGATGGTCCGGGATGGCGGTCATAAATAGGCTAAACTATTTTAATTAAAAGCCAAAGTTTCGACCCGACTTTGCAGCTCTTCTTCAGGTAGGTGTTTTCAGCTAGGAGTTTCACTTAAAACTCAGTAGAACTGGCTGGGGAACTAAAGAAAGAAAGAAGAGAGGGGAGGGGAGTTCTGAAATTTTTTATGGCGGGGCTTATGGAAGTTAAGGTTTCGCAATAGTTATAACAAAAACTTTGTTGTTCGGCTATTTGTTTAGGTACCCCACACCTAAACTGACCATCACCTATCCATTAAAATTTGTTAAGTGTTTAATTTTCATTTATGATGAAGCGAGGAGATTGTGGAGTCAATTAATTAATCAAAAAGAGTTGTAAGGGTCTCTTCATTTCTTTAAAATCTGCTGAATCTATCGCTGGCAAAATAACCAAAAAACATTGGACATTAAATCACCTACATCCGTGTAAAATTAAAACTTGATCTGAATATTGTGACGGCGTGGTGAAATTTTTTGGAGTTTTTTTTTTCCTGATTTCCGGCTAATCCGTTTGATTAATTATAAAAATGTATACAACATTTGTTAGACTTGGGAATCGAATGACACCTTCAAAGGGAAGAACAGAAAGAACAAAGTTGAGAAATGAGTGTGTTTTCCCCGTTTTATGCGATAGCACGTTACAGATGTTCGATATTCGAGATTTTTCCTGATGAGTTGTGATAATTTTTTCTATCAGTTGAGTAGTACAACTTTTAAATGTCGCTCGCGATAGAGTAGGTTGGGATGGGAATCGAAGTAAGTAACTGCATAACCGGAATCTCTAGACAAAATACTCAAGAATCCATAACTTTGGTTTTACTCAATATTTTGTTTTCATTTAAAGTCTAAATTTTAAGTCAAACAAACCTAAATATTATGTCAAAATTTTAAAAGTCTACCATTAGCCATTGCCGAGCTTACCCCTGACAAAATTTCCTTGGACAATGCAGAAATCCAGACAGACTAAACATCTTAAAAGATTTTTAAGATGTTCAAATTTTTAAGATTCAATTTTTTTTAAAAGTGGATTTGGTGTCTGTACTGTATGGAACGGAAAGATATCATGAAACGGGTTGATTCTATTCAATATATAGACAAAACCTTTATTTTATTTATATAGATGATCTTCAACCTATAAACATATGTTTATTATTAACATTTATTATCAACATTAACAGAGATCTTCAGACAAATTACTCAAGAATTCATGACTTTGGTTGTACTCAATATTTTGTTTTCATTTAAAACCTATGTTTTAAGTCAAGCAAACTGAATATAATGTTAAAATTTCAAAAGTCTAAAATAAGCCATTCCTGAGCTGACAAAATTTCGTTGCAATGCAAACATACAGACAGACAATAAATTTTTTAAAGGTTGATTTGGTGTCTGCAATGTATGAAACGGAAATATATCATAAAACAGGTTAATTCTATTCAATGTACAGACAAAACCTTTATTTTATTTATATTGATAACTAGTTAATAATATTAATTATTTATGTATTCTATATTAACTTCAATTTTTATTCATGATTCCAGCTTAGAGTCAAGATTAGTTGACATATTCGAACAAGCCCATCAAACATTTATTGGATTAGAATCTCGATTGAAAGCTGAAAGTTATAAACTTCGAGTTCTTCAAATTTTTAGAGCTTGGGACGATTGGGCAGTTTATCCAAGAGATTATCTTCTTAGGTTAAAATCCACTTTCTTAGGAGCCCAGGTATTATTATAATTCATTTTTCTTTATATTTGTTAAAAGCTTGTTATCCTTTTTCTCATACTTCCTTTATATTAAACTAATCAATTGAAATTAAATATTATAGTACCTCTTATGCGAAATATTTGTAGTGTTTTTTTTTTTTTACAAAATCAACACTTGAAGCTAGTGTAAAATTTAAAAAAATATTATTTTATGAATTTTCAAAATACATGAGAATTCCATGTTATTTAGTAATATTCCTTATATTATTCACATCCTAAAAATGATTCTCTATGTATGTGTCATTTAGATTGAAGAAGTAGAAGAGGAAGAAGAAAGGGTTGTCACTCCAGAGATTCCTCCACCTGATGATATTGTCAATTCAGATCTAGACGGCGTACCTCTAGACGGAGCAGCCCTACTCAAAGGAGCTTATGGCCACGCCTATGATGATATTGATGGAGTTCCAAGTCAGTAAATTTGAACTTTACTTTAATGACCTACTACTCTCTTCCACACTTCAGTTAGAAACCTTGGGATGATTTTTGATTATTACCTGTCCTGGAGTAACCTAACTCCATTCCTCAAATTATCTAAAAATCTATTGCTTGCCTCAAAACAGTTTCTGAGATCCCTTGATTCTATGCCTCTTAAAATCTGTTCCTAGTTTCTTCTCTAATTTTTCTCCACTTACATTATGGCTGCCTTGTATACATTGGACTGTCTGATAAGCATGAGATTAGATTGAAGAGTAATGAATCGACTAGATTCTTCTTTGGAATCTCCTGCCACTTCTAGAACTCCAGTTAGTATGCCGAGTTAAAGTGGCTCAATCCAGTTTTACAATGGCAATATTTCCTAGATGTATTAATTTTTCCAAACCTTAACAACCAAAACTCGTTCTTGCCTATTATTTTATGATTGTCATTGTTCTGTTATTCATTTTCATAAGACTTAGGTGACTATCCCACTATAACATTCACTTTTCTTTCTTTTGTATATTATATTCCACTAGAAAAAACATAAGTGGCAATTAGGCAAACTAAATAAAATATCAAATAAGTAAATTGACTGTTTTAACTGTCAAAAATTTGAACTAGTAGTGTTTTTGATTTTATTTGTGAGTTAAAGACATTTTTTTTTATAAAATTATGTCTACATTGCAGTGGATGATGACTTGGATGGCAAACCTTTTGAGGAAGATCTGCATCGGCTGCCGTCTTCCCATAGACCTGAAGGTGCATTTGTCCCTTCGAGGTGGGAAGAGGTGGATCCGGATCTAATTGAGGAACAGGCGATGACAACTTCTAAGTGGGAGCTGCTAGAAGAGAGCAAAGTTCAACGGGAACCGATGCCACCGAGCCAAACAGGCAGTGGCGATGAATCTCAACCTGTCCCTCCTCTTCCGAGGGAACCATCTCCAGCCTCCAATGACAGTAGGTTAGTGTTAAAGAGGTCAAGTGTAAAATTATTTGTTCTCGAGAATGTTTGATATTCTCTTAGTGAAACAATACCTTTATTTAATAAATATTATCATATCTGTACTGCTACTTTCTGACTGAAGCAGTGGACAGTACAGCAGTTCTAGGTTAAGGTATTGTATCAGAGAATTGTTTTGATGATAACAGGCACCTTGATATGTTTCATTTCATTTTTTTTTTTTTTTTTTTTTTTTTTCAAGTCAGGCAGAATTAAATGAAAAATTATTTAAAATTTAAACAAGTTATAGTAAATCATTTTTTAATGATTAAAATAACTATATTATTTATTATACCATAATATTAGTAATATTCATATTACTTTAAGGAATTCAAGTATGCCTAAGTCCTAAAAACATTAAGTAATCAAAAAGAAAATGTTAAATGCAGATAAATACTCAAATCCGGAATTACAAAAATTGATTTGTCCTTTTTAATTAAATGCTGATTTAATGATTAACTGTTTGATTTAATGATTTCATTAAAAATATATGATGTTTATTACTGAAATAATAAGTGCTAATAATAATAACATGCTCTAATAATAAGTAATAAATTCAAAATCAGAAATACATCCTCAATTCTTAATATAATATTTAGTCATCTTTCTATCTTAAGGCTGATGTTTTCTTTTCAAAATATTATAAGAAACCATCTTGTTGAAGGTGGCTATTAATAGTTAACATTGTATAATAGAGACATAACCTAACCTCATTAATTTACTTCAACTACTAGAAAAAAATGGCATGTATGTATTAATTAAATTAAATCAGAACTCCGTCATCATATTGTATTGCTGTCCTCTCATTGATACGAATGAAAAGCTTACATTTTTATTTAAAATTATTTCAAACTAGAGTGCTAAATCGAGAGGATTAGGCCACGACGGTGAGCAGTTTCTGCAAAATATACAAGCATTAAAGGATTAGCATTAAGTATAGCATGGCGATCGCTTCTGCAAATTTTTTCATATATCTGAATACACACACATATATATGGATGTTACATTGTAATTGTTATTTTATGGATACTTGGATGAATGAAAATGAATTTTTTTCAACTTCTATTATTATTTTAGCAGAGATGGACAGGAAGAAGCCAGGAGAGCTAAACTAAGAGAGATTGAGGTTAAAGTGGTGCAGTACCAAGATGAGTTAGAATCAGGCAAACGTCAGGTTAAGGCTGGCTGGACCATACCAGATCAGATTGAGCATCACCGAAGAAAACTACTTCGCAAGGTGTTTATATTTTTTCTGTCCATTAAAACATATCAGTTGTGATTTCTGTTTCTTAAAAATAGTATGTTGAAATATCTGTTATAATTTTTATTAATTTATGATTTTATCTTCTGTGTAATGTGTATTTGTATTTTAATATTTATATGTTTATTGTTAAATTAAAAAAATATATATATAGTTATGATTGCTTGTATAGTAAATTGAAAGAATAGACAGGTGGAAAATAATATACAAAATAGTGTTTAAAATACCATATAGTCTAAAATGTACCCTGTCCCAGAAATTTTTAGTTGACCATATTTAGGGCTTTTAAAGTTACTTAAGAGTTTATTTTCATTTCAAAATTCTTTATAAAGGTTTTAGTATGAAATTTATATTAGTAATAAGTGATAACTCACTCACTATCACACATCTGTAGTTGTGAAATTGAAATTTCAATTGGTGTTACATTTTCTATTTGTACTTGTGGAATTGTCTACGTTTTTCCTGATTGCCTGATGTTTATTGTATAGTGTGATGTTAAGACTAAAGATTTCTTTAATAAATGATATATCATGTGCAAAAATAGTTGTTCAGGTCTGATTGTTAATTCCTGAAATTAGCGTATCAAACAAACTTTTCAGCTTAATGTATTGGTGTAGTTTCTATTGGATTGTTAACACAAAACAATGGTGTTTTACTTTTTCAGGCTGAGAAAGCTGAAAATAAAGAAACTACTACTCCTAATAAACCAGCGGATAAAGTGAAAGGTCGTAGTATATCACCGGATGATTCTACATCTGATTCAAGGTATTACTGTTATTATATTATCAACCCTTTGTTATCTTGAATTGTGTGAATCTTCATGTATCTGTACCTAGTGTTCTAAAAACAAGCCCTTGAGCTTCGACTCGAGTTGTGGAGTCTTTGGACCTCGACGGCTCGAGCTTTAGTCTCATAGGATTCAAGCCTTGATGAATTTATCTTTAAAAAAAAATTAAATTATTGTACATTTTCATAAGCAAATATATATTTTTTCTGTTGGTTGTAACAATGTGAATATATTTCCGAAATAATATGCGAATATATTATTTTTCTGTTGATGGTAACAATGTAAATATATTTTTGAAATATAATGTAAATAAATAGATAGGAAATAAGGTTCCAATCGCAACTCAAGCCTTAAGGGCTACATTGGCATCAATTATATTGACGTCGATCAAACTGGTTGATATAAAGTTATTTTTATTGAAGCTCCTTCAATATTATTGAAACAGTGTCAATATAATTGCACATGTAAGAGCTATACATAGAGCAATATGAAACCATATATACGAATCTTGAGAAGCTCTAGGTGATACGAAATTTCCTGTGCTCCTCTGGGCAATATGTTTGAGTAGGTGGGTGATACTTTGTTTTACTTTTTTTTTTTTTAAGGGTTTAATCCCCTCTCCAAATTTTTTTTTAAAGATGAAATGGCAATGTTTGGGTAGATGGATGATACTTAGTTTTACTTTTTTTGGTGGGTTAGCTCCCCCTTCGAATTTTTTTGCATCCTCACTACTGAAGGTTGGGAAGCATTGTATTCGTGTGAGATGTTAAAAAAAAAAATTAATAAAAATATTTTAATGGGGGTTAGGTTGATGAAATATTTTTATGAGGTTATAAACTTTAATAATGTTTTATTTAAAAACTTAATTTATACTTACTTTATTGTTTGGTCGATTCCAAATGTTACTGGCATGGAATTACTGCCGTTAATTAGATTTCGTGTAATGTTCTTCTTCTCACAATGTCATTTCTAGCGTCGAGGAGCCTCTATCCACCGCAGCCACTCTTCTCAGTCTCTGCTTAACCGCTTCATTTGGTTGAATGATTTGCCTCTTTTACCTCCGATCCTCTCCATGAACTCCTGATATGAGACTCTGGGACACCCTCATGGCCTCTTCCCTGTGGGTCGAGACTCTAATATCTTTATAGGGTCCATGTCCTCGTTCATGCGGCAAACATGTCCAAACCACCTTAATTGTCTGTTCTCTAAGGTGGTTTTGAGTTCAGGCACTTCCAGCTGTTCTCTGATAGTTTCATTTCTAATGTGATTCCTCCTAGTTTTGCCCACCGATCTACGTAGGAATCGTATTTCCGCTGCTGTTATGCGACTATAATGTTTGTCCAACATTGTCCAACTTTCTCCGCCGTAGGTGAGAATAGGAAGGTATACAGACTTATAGACGTGAATCTTGGTATTTTTATCCACTTCACGGCAGCTGAGGATACTGCTAGCGATCTGGTGATATACTTGATTCGCCTTAGATATTCTATGCGAAATCTCAGCATCTATCTTACCAGTGATAGTAATTATGGTACCTAAGTATGTGTACTCCTTTACTACCTCAAGAATTTCTCCGTTGCAAACCAATTGGACGTCTTCCTCTTCTTTCGCCATAATCATCACTTTACTTTTGGAAGCATTTATTTGCATACCTTTCCTCAGCAGCTCTTCTTCCCATTCTACCAGTGCTTGCAGGTGTGCTACAGACACACCGACCATTTTTGGGATTTGGTTATTTGGACTCAGGATACCCCAAAACGTGTATTTCCGTTAAAAACTCAGATTCAAAAATTTTCTCGATCGCAATACGTACCCTTACTATATATTACATATATACGTAAGTGAAAGTAAAATGGGTTTGTACCATGAACTATATAAAATAGAGAGCAATCAAGTATTTTATATCATTACCTAGTGCCTGTTAATCAAAGTACTTACTATAATTACTTATATCCAGAGTTGGATCAAAATTCTCACTATTATAAAAGAGAAAACAATATTTTGTCATCTTATTTTTGGTTATGTGGTAATATAATAATATTCTATCATTTGAGAGAATTTCTAGTTCATATTAATTTTTGTTTAAAACTCTTTTTTTTTTTTTTTTTTTTCTCCTCACAGATATAAGAGGTCAAAGCGATCAAAAAGCAGTACTCCTAGCCCTCCTCCTTCTAAGAGATCAACCTACAGGTATGTCGTAGTGTTTGTTATATTTTGACATATGAAATATTTTGTACATAAATAAAAATTGTGACTTCAAAAATGTAAATCTTTTGATTAATTATTTATTCTTAAGATACCTTGAATACGAGTTGATAAAGTAAATAACGAGACTGATGCTGTAAAACATTATTTTGATTTCATACTTATTTACTTATGATTGATTACCTTCAATACATCCGAACACTTGTATATGTATAATGATATCTATTTTTCCTGTTGTCAATAGATCAAGAAGTCGGTCGCCTTATTCTTCATCAAGACGACGAAGATCCCGTTCTCCTCGCAGGCGAGAGGACAGCCCACCCAGAAGGAGGAGGTCACGTAGCCCTGACACTTCTTCGCCAGCACACAAGAGACGGCACTCTTCATCAAGGCATAAACACAAGCACAGGCACTAGGGTGGGGCGCAAAAAAGAAATGTCAGTGCTGCCAATAGCCATTAGTCGTTGTTTTATTTTCCTATTACAGTATATTGATGTATATGTGTCGCCAAGTGTTACAGCGTACTGAAACTGTGTATTATTTGTAAGTTGTTAATTTATGTACATATAAATTATGTAATGAATGATATTAGTGACTAAGATGATTGATTTTGTGCATATATTGTGGGAAATTCTTGTGTTTGTCCCGGTGTACATAATATGAGGGATGTTTGTGGCAGTAGAGGCCAATACTCATTCCTGTTTTTATTGAATGTATTAAAGTCATTTGTACAAAGATTATAATAACCATTAGTCTTTTTCTTTTTTTTTTCTTTTTCTTTGGTAGACTTTTTAGTAAATTATTTTATTGTTTATTTACATATGATTGTGACGAAACAGAATGGAATGTTACTTGTTGATTATGTACCTGTTTCTTAAGATTACTTGCATATGTGCATACATTTTATCGAAATAGGTAGAAAAAATGTATATTTGAAGTATGAGAAAAGAGGAAATGTGTATGTATATAGGAGTGTGGAATTAAAGCATATTATTCTGTTTCAATTTGTTTTCTTTTTTGTATTAACATCTTTAAAAATCTATTGTGCCTATGAAGATTTAGAACTGCTAGCCGAAACCACAATTTCAACTAATAATAATTATCGCATCATGTGAAAATGTTTTTTTTTTTAAATATTTATTTTATTTAGTGACAGATTATTTACATTTGTAAATTAGATGAGAGCCAGTTTTCATAAGTTATTCCTGATTTCACATGCTTTTATACTTTGAATAAAGTTATATGAATTGTTAGGTATATAGCACATACAATTTAGATGTATCAATGTTAAAATTTATAACATTATAGTCCGTGGTACAGACCCCTTTTTATCGAATTATTGACATCCACCTGAAACTTCGTAAATAGTTTCATCTCATTGTAACCTACAACTATTTTATTTACGAAAACTCTTACAATTTAGGCGTTTTCAATCTGGAGGGGAACAAACTTTGTCTATTTAATTATGTATAATTACTATAATTTAATTACGTACTAAAAACAAGTAACTAGCCATTTGCCTTGTTATTAGCCTATATAACCTTGTTATTTTGGAAATTTGGGGGTGTAGGTCGCGCCAAATGGCTCAACATTTTTGAAGGCCACATTTTTTCTCGATTTTGTGATAAAATTATGTTATAATCCAAGTAGAAAGCAAATGGGTATTTACGAGTTTTTTTTACGTAATTAAATATACAAAGTTTGCCTCCCTCCAGATTGAAAATGCCCCAATTCCAAGAGTTTTCGCAAATAAAATAGTTGTAGGTATTATGAGATGAAACTATTTACAATCATTTAACAATAGAAACAATTATTGTTAAATGATTAATTTTTAATATTAAGATTTGATCCGAGCTTAAATGCTTAATGTTATTTATTTTTTTTCCTCAATATTAAATATTCGTAATAGTAAAGGAATCAAGAGAGAAAACTGTAAATTACAAAACATTTTAAAATAATATGTAATGTTTAACAGACAAAAATATTCACTTTATTTTTTTTAACACTTTAGCTGTGGTTACAGCCCCTGAGTTCCGATATTCCTCTCGACTGCCAAGCAGCCTGGATTGTTTCAAATTTTGCCTATCTTAAAAAGTCTATAAAATATTCGTTTTAGAAATATTTGAATGGGAGTTGAATAGATGTAAAGATACATACGTAAATAATCATTGTATATGATATAAAGCAGTAAGTGCCGGGGACCGATACTGATGAATAATGATTTCCTTATGGTATCATTCCCCGTCGTCTGATACATAATCCTGCCATGATAGGACAGTTCACATGCATGGTGATTGAGATAATTTTTGAAACTTCGGTGGTCAATTCTTGGATCCATCTTTAACATGAAAAAAAAAAACCATATCAAAGTTGCGATCGGTTCTCGCTTATGAACTCCCAACTCAGCATCGACCAATGTCACCTTGTCTGATGTGTCGTGTCCATTCTTTTATTAAGTGTTCGGATGAGGTAAGAAAACAAAGAAAGCAGTGCAGAGTGAACTGAGAAACACACTAAGAAGTAAGGAGGCAAATAAGAAAATACAGAAAATCTCTAGTTTCTGTGAGGACTGTGATGGTATGCCCAGATTCTGTTTACTACACCGACCAGTATCACAAGCAGTTAGAAACTTAATATTTCACTTTCATTTTTCCTTTTCTTTAAATAAATTCTAATTTAATAGTGAATAACCAAATAAATATATTTTTCTTGTATTGCCACAATATGGTACTTACTATGAAACTTCGATGTTTTATATTCCATTTTACTTTAACTTATCCTATATATAAAACATAATTAACATTACGATCGTGAAAATTTTTGAATCTGATTAAACTAGGTGTATGTATCATTGTATAATTATGTGGTCTTTAGTATCATTCATGTTTTATTTCTGTTGATGTCACTTTACAGGGCTTAAATGCCCAATGTGCGTATGTTTCTTCCTCTAAAGTACCTTTAATATGGTTTATTTTAAATAATTAACTATCTCTCATTATTAAGAGTTACAAAAAAATGCTAAATATATCTTTTGAAAGAATTTGATAATTGAATAAAACAGAAAAAAATAAAAATTCTTATCCAGGTCGAAAATGAATCTCCGGAAATACTAGTCAGAAGATATACCTATAATACATCGTTGGAAAAGCGGAGAATTTTAGAAAAAGCAATATCTAATATATAATTGGTAATTGGTTGACTGTCGTGGATAATGAAGAGAAGAATAGTTGGGGTGCTCAGTCAAAAAAGGAAGGCAAAAAATAAATTATAATATTTAAGGTAAAATATATATATTTAAGGTAAAAAATAAATATTATAATTTATTTTTTGACTGAGCACCCCAACTATTCTTCTCTTCAATATCTAATATAGAAAGTTGTAGAAGGTAGCGGAGATTTGCAAAAAAATTATAAATAATAATTTTTGAAAACTAATAATATTTAACGTAAAACATGTTTTCAAGGAAATTAAATGAAATTTTCTAACTAAATGCAAACTTCTAAAATATTTTTAAGTTTGAAAAAAGTTTTTAAAATCCACCTAATCAAAACAATGATATTGTTTAAAAAAATATTTCATTGTATTTGTGTGAAAGAAGTAAAATATAAAATAATTTCATGAATGTATAAAGCATATATTTATAACCCTAAATACATTTACTGTAGTTTAATAATTCTAGACCTGATATTATATTTAAATAATTAGGTATTAATGTCCGTTTATTCCGAAATATTGTCATGTAACTTTTTAGAAAATTAAATTAGTGAATAATTTGATGAATCTTCCCTTTGTGATATTCTAACAGTATTTACTTCCAATTAGTGTGACAACTTTTGACCTGTCTATGACAGACATTCAGTAAATCTCTGAATTACGTTTTAGTAAACTTTGCAATGGAATATAACAGTTTAATAACTAATATTCGTACAGCCCATAATCAACGGAACGTACAATCCATAATCAACCGGTGATATAATAAATAGGACTATTGTTATATTAAGGGTATTTATGATTTTTTAGTTGTAGGTCAGTTAAAAATGTAATTCAAAAATTTTATAATAGCCCAACATGACCATAAAATAATTTTAATTCAAAGTTGAGCGATAAGTGAAAGTTGTGTGTTTCGCACCAATTTTTTAAATTTCATGCTATCTGCATAAATATCCAGACATGACAAAATATGCATTCATGCACCAAGATCTTGGTTGCTACAGCTTTTCATGTCACCTCATTCCGACACCTTTTCTAATTAATTTTAATGAAATTTACTTTATAGAACAGTACTATATAAAAGCATGAAAGCATTTTAGTTTCATGAATCCAGAGAACTTATATTGTAGTTTTAACTCTCAAATTATGGATAACTTTTATCTGAGATAATGTTTACTTCATTGAGTCCAAGATTTGTGTTAATAAAATTTTATTTTACAATAATGATTATGGTAAATTAATAAAAGTAATTAATTCTAATAGTGTGATCTTCCATGCTACCTTGTTACCTAAATACAGTGGTGTATTGTGTTCATAAATAAACCCACATGTTAATGTAAAAAGGTTTTGATGAAGAAAAAACCTAAAATAAATATAATAATTACATTAAAAAAAGGGTGTGCCAAAAGGGATTTTTCAATCAAATATAAAAAGATTTTTACAAAATGAAAGTGAAATTATCTAATTCACAGTTTCATCCTTATCTACTATAATAAATATCTACTATAAAAATAACAATTTCAAATTAAGTTTAAAAAACATTTTAATTTTATTTTGTAAATAACAAATATAATTATTTTTGAATATTGTCAATTCATCCACTATTATTTATGATTTAATTGTTATTGTTTATATGAAATAAGTTTCATTTTGTAACAATGATACAATCACAAACTGAGTTGTATTAAAGCAAATATTGTGATGTATACAATAAACCTTTAGATGTAACACCAGCATACACAATGATCTAAGATATCAAAGCAAGAATAGTATTGTTAATTTTTTTATTAATTCAATTTTTTTCCATTAATTTGACTCTTCATATAATATTTATGGAGTGGGGAATAAACACATATAAAGTAATTATGAATAAATATAATTTTTATTCAATAAATTGTTATAATTATAATTTGTGTGAGTGAGTTGACGACTGCCAATGACCCTAGCGGGTAGAGTCATACAAACAAATAAATAATAAATTATAATTTTTGTATAACAATTTTCCATTTTATTGTTCAAATTATAAGTATAAATGTAGTTATCCACAGTTTTCTTTATATTTTAAAGATTGATTTTCTAGTTATTAGAAACTTTTTAGTATAATATTCATCACTGTTGAACAAATTAACTTTCTTAATGTTCAAGATTTGTCTGATGGATTATGTTAAATGATTAAGGAACTTTTCATCATAAGCAGGAATATTGTAACCGACGAGCAAGTATCTTTTTTTGTTCAACAAACACAGAAGTTTAATATACATATAAGAAGAAACATGAATTTTGTTATATCTTAAGGAAATATAAATTAATTAATCAGTTTTGCTGTTGTAGAAGACCTAGTTTGTAAATTGAAAAGTATTAGTTAACAGTGCATTATATTCTATATCTATAATTCATTATTTTGTTTTATGTATATGAACTTAACTTATGTACTTGTATTCTTTACTTAGTGAATATATATTATAAATGAGAAGAAAATGTAGTGTGATAATTGGTTATTTTTATTTCTTTCAAGTGCTGTTTGTAATTTTTTAAAATACATAATAAATAAACTTGTGTAAAAGTTTTATATATTACAACCCAAATTTCTCACAATAAAAAATAAAATTTTAACTTCAGATAGTTTGTTTTTCTACTTTCCTTTTCTTTGATTCAAAAAGAAAAATAATAGAATTAAATAACGATAAATTAAGCAATGAGGATATAAATAAAGTAAAATAATATGTATCCCTATTATTATTTATATTCTTACTACTCCCTTCATCCTTAATTTACTTATACTGATAATGTTTTTGTTATTTATTTATATCTATACTATATACATTTCTATATTTCTTGTATATCTGATTTAATTTCATACCTTATGAACATCCAAAAGTTTGCATCAAGAGCTGTATCTCGCCATAAAATAATGATTAAATCCTAATAATTTGTTCCATGGTGTGAACCACAGTTAATCAACTATAATAAAATTGTTCTGAACAATCAGCACAAGATAATTTTCAGAAAATATTTTTTAAATGTTAAGATTTCAACTATCAAAGGACTATAAATGAAAGCCATTGTCAAAATTTAAAAGAACAACATTGAGAAAAATGAGAATGAATTATTCCTTATGAACACGAATAATTTGATTGATATAAAATTATAGAAACTTACCT